AAAAGGTAGAATCTTATGAAACAGGTACTATGATCCCCATTTTATAGATGGCAAAACCAAGGCTCAGAGAGGTTAAACAACTTATCCAGGCTTATACAGGTGGCAAAACCACACAATCTGACTCCTCACCCATGTTTTTAATCTGTCTACACTCCAATGCCTCAGCTAAGGAAAGTTCCTCCTTACATCTAACTTTCATTTCCTTAAATCTAATTTTTGTTTCAGCTGCTGCAGCTCCATTTCCTGGTGCAGGTTCTCAAAGGAGAATGAAGCACCACTGAGCTCAGAAAAATCTCGCTCCAAAATATTGCAGTGTGCAGGGTGGAATAAAGAAAGCGATTTCAATTGAACGCCTACCAAGCACTGATTAAGTGTGCCACACACAGTACTTCCGCTAGCTCGTTTAATCTTCACAAAACCCCTGGAAAGAGTTATCTTTCCTGTGACTGATAAAGAAACCGAGGCGTGGAGAGGCTAAACCACTTCTCCAAGACTGCAGCCCTTAGAGATGCACTAGTATCTTCTATGGACCTTGCACCATGCTAAGGCTGGAGAGGCAGACACAAGGATGCAGCCTCTAAAAGTTCAGAGTCTAACAGAGGAGGCCCAGCCAGCAGCCCCCTGCTGTGTTACAGGATTAATGAGGAGGGGCACCCAGCACACAGAGGTTAAGATACAGAAGCCGGCAGGATCTCTGTGCAGGCTAGATTCCCGAGCTGTCTAAGGAATAGGAGGCAGCCTAGCAGAAGTGATGGAACAGGCAAGAGAGAGGGCGCAGAGGTGGACAGAGCCTGTGGCTGGGAGGGAGTGGTGGATTTAGCACGGCTAGAGCATGAAGTGGTGCATCTGAGGAGGTGGCGATATCCTGCCCGTCCCACTAAGAAGGCAAGGGTGAGTCAGGTGTGTACACGTCAGTAATCCCAGCTGTTGAGGAGGCCAAAGGGGGAAGATGGTCAGGTAAGTTCCAGCCAGCCAGTGCAATCTAATAAGACGCTGTCTCCCAAGATAAAAAGTAAAAAGGGCTGGAGGCATAGCTCAGTGATGGAGTGCGCCCAGGTTCAATTCCCAGTACCACACAGAAAAGGAAGTTAGGGTGAGGTGCAGACCTCTGCCGAGAGCCAAGGACAGGAGACGACCCGCAGAGTGACTAGAGAGACGGAAGTGGAGCTGGAGCCGGCTCCCTGGACCTGCCCTCGATAACCATGGGGCCCACACCAGCCAAGAAGCAGATCTTCCAACTGATAGCCAAAGTCCTTCTGCTCCCGGAAGAACTGATCAAGCATGAGCACAGGAAGGACATCATGGAAAGAGTGACATCTGGGTCCAGGCAGTGGCTGACCTGTGGGTGAGGATGCCTGATTCACTGAGACGACAAACACAGGGACTGGGGACAGATCTGATAAGGTGTGAGGAAGATTTAAGCATTCATTTGTTCATTCAGCATGTACTGAGGGCTCGCCGTGTGATGGGCAGAGCTGTAGACACTGGAGCTAAAGTTCTGAACAGAACAACAGTCAAAACGGTTGCCCTTATGGAACATCCATTCTCGTGGGACTGGAGACAGCAAACATCGGATGGTGAGAAGGGATACAGAGGAAGAGAGATGGGGGCAGGCTGTAATATTTTAAAGGCTGCTCTGAGAAGACATCAATGAGAATGTGACATGTGAACAAAAACCTGAAGAAGGGAAGGAAATATTCTCAGGTGGCTACTTGGGGCCACAAGGTGCCCAGGTCAAAGAAATAGCAAGTGCAAAGGCCCTGAGGCAGCCTAGCAGGTTCAAGGAAAGCCGTTACTGGAGCAAATCAGTAAAAGGGAGAATAAAGGAGAAGGGTCTGGCAAGTAATGGGAGCGCCTCGCACTGAAAGGGCTTTGAGTTTGACTCTAACCAAGATGGGAGACAATGGAGGCTTTGGAGCAGAAGGTGACATGATCTGACCTCTATTTGATCAATCCCATGCTGGCTGCTAAAGGGGCAGTAGACAGAAAGACAAGTATGTATGGACACAGGAGGCCAGGGAGGGGGTGGCTATTGCAACAATCTTTGCAAGAAAGAAGCATGACTTGGACCAAGCCAGTATTGGCATCAGTGGTATTTGTATTCCCAACACATTACCATGACAATATTCATAGAGCCAAGTTGAATTTTCCTATGAACACCTGTACGCCCAGGATTCTGGTTCTGTTCTGAAAAGATTCAATGGGATTGGGCTTTGCTGAGTGTGCAGACCCAGGGGACTTGTCTAGGAGATGGTAGCAGACACCTCAGTGCCTGCCACAGCCCAGGTCATCCCATCACTCCCAACAGGAAAGCCCACTTTCCCTGAAAGAACCTCAGATCACAGATTCGCGTCTGCTGGCCCGCTGGTACCTTCACCAGGTCATGAAGCTGGTGAACTCTGAGCAGCCCAGGTCTTCCTCAGAAAAGTATTTGCAAGCAATTTCAGTGGGGGAAACTGCAGAGGAATCATTGATACAAACAACATACAACAAAAAAATGTATATTTCCCGAGGGCCAGGGATTTAGCTCAGTGGTATAAGTGCCTGTCTGGCAAATGAGATTGTAAGTTTGATTCCTTACAAAAAAAGAAAGAAGGAAGGGAAGAAAGAAAGGGAGAGAGAGAAAGAGAGAGGAAGGAAGAGAAGAAAAAGATTCAGTGTAATAACAAATTCACTGAGAAAATCAGAAAAACAACACCTTTCACAATAGTATCAAAAAAAGAAATACTTAGGAATCAATGTAATGAAGGATGTAAAAGATTTCTACATCAAAAACTACAGTCCTCTGACAAAGGAGATTGAAGAGGATATTAGAAAACGGAGAGAGTCCCATGCTCTTGGGTAAGAAGAACCAACATAGGGAAAATGGCCACACTTCCAAAGCTGTTATACAGGTTCAATGCAATCCCAGTCAAAATTCCAATAGCATATCTCACAGAATTAGGGAAAACAATCCTAAAATTCTTCTGGAACCAGAAGAGACCAAGAATAGCAAACGTAATGTTGGGCAACAAAAGCAAGGCAGGAGGCATCACAATCCCTGACTTAAAATTATACTATAAAGCTACCGTGATAAAAACATCATGGTATTGGGGAAAAAAAAAACAGACCCAAGATCAATGGAACAGATTAGAAGATGCAGAAACAACTCCAGACACACTAAGCTACCTTACCTTTGACAAAGGTGCCAAACACATTCACTGGAAGGAAAATAGCTTCTTTAATAAATGGTACTGGAAAAACTGCCTCCATACATACCAAAGATTAAAATTGGACCCATATCCTTCACCAGGCACTAAACTAAATTTGGAATGGATCAAAGATCTAAATATTGAAACAGAAACATTAAATCTGCTGGAAGATAGAGGAGGTAAAACTCTTGAAGACATTGATGGAGGCAAAGACTTTATGAACAAACCCCTGACTACACAGGAACTGTCAGAAAGAAGCAACAACTGGGATCTCATCTTATTGAAAAGCTTTTGTACACCAAGAAGAACCACCAACAGAGAGAATCCACAGTGTGAGAGAAAATGTTAGCCAGCTGCTCCTCAAAGATTACTATCAAAAACATAGAAAGAACTCAAAAAATCAGTCCTCCCAAATTTAAAAACTCAATCCAAAACTGGGCATCTGAGACAAACACACAGTTCCCAGATGAAGAAATACAAACATAAAACAAATATATGAAAAAATGTTCAGCATCATTGGTCACTTGAGAGATATTAATTAAAACAACACTGAGATTCCATCGCACCTCAGAAAGAGTAGCTGTTATCAAGAAATCAAGCAATAACAAATGCTGGAGAGGCTGTGGGGAAAAAGGACCCTCCTCCACTGTTGGTAGGAGTGTAGACTGATGCAACTTCTCTGAAAATCATAGTGGAGATCCCTCAAAAAACGAGGATTGGAGGACCCATTTGACCTAGCTATTCCCTTCTGAGTATCTTTCCAGAAGAATTAAAAACATCATACCACAGCAATATATGTACAACTATGTTCATAGCAGCATAATTTGTAATAGCTAGATCTTGGAAAAACCCTAAATGCCCATTCACTAGGAATGGATAAAAAAGATGAGGTAATTTGATATAATGGAGTACTACTCATCCATAAAGAAGGACAACCTTGAGACTTTTATAGGTAAATGGATACAATTTGAGGCCATACTCATAAGTGAAATAAATCAGACATGCATGTGTAAACATCATATTGTCTCACTAGTGTGAGAAACTGAAAGAAACAATATATGAACATATTATATATATATGTATATGTATAGTTAAGATAGTTATATTACTAATTTCCCTGAGTTCATTGAAGAGAAAGGTTTGTACTGGTACTATTCAGACAATTGAATGCAGATGTCTTGTGCTTTGGGTGTCTGATTTGGGGATGACAATGCTCAATGTATGCATCATTGCTGTTCTCTGATTGTTGTGTTTTGAAATTTTGTATTACTCTTCTTTACTTTTTTGAAATAAAATTGATAGAAAGAAAGAAAGGAAGAAAAAAAAGAAGGAAGGAAGGAAATACTTGGTGTAACAGATCCCCTGTGAGTAAATGTTGGCAATTTGGGGGGAATGTATGACGCCTCAGGACACACCTCATTTTAGCCTGCAAATCCCCTTCTCTCCATCCTCCTGGCCTGTGTGCAGCAGTAGACAGGACGAAGTGGACAGGGAAGCACTGCGTGATAAATCTCCCTGTCACCTGGAGGACGCCCTCCTATAAACCTCCAGGAGGATCAAGGTCCATGTGGAAAAGAGACTGAGGGCTGAGGGAGTCTTGGAGCCCCCCAAGGTAGGGGTCACAGCATGACACCCAGCCAGCTTGGAGCTCAAAGTTCCAGGCTCAGGAAATCCGGAGGCAGGAGAGGAGCACACTGTTGCCACATTCCCTGGGCCCTTTAAGACCCCTGAGGCAGGAAGGCTGCTGGGCCTCACCAGTTTCCCTCCAGGGCTCCTTCCTGGGAGGAAGGGGCTGCCCCAGTGCGGTGCACAGGAGCACTCAGAAGGTGTCGCAATCCTCAGTGCCCCAGCTGTCATTAACGAAAGAGCTGGGGAAAGCAGGCGGACTGCAGCAGGTTTCAGGAACTTGACTCAAAGAGTTAAGGAGAGGAGAGAACAGGAGGTCAGCGCGTCCGGCCAGGTTCCAGCGTAAGTAGGGGATGCCGGGGGAGGCTGAGCCCCGCTGTGTGGGGACCAGGAGCCCAAGGGCCACTCACTCAGCTCTGCCACAGGCCACTGTCCTGGCCAAGCCCTGCCTTAAAGGTTGGAGCCTGGGAAGAGGAGCCTTGCACAGTGTCTCTCTGAGGGTTGCAACAGGGAAGCCACAAACAGCCGCCTCTCTCTTTGGGAACACAGAGCTGGGCTCGAGAACGGCCGTTGTCATCCTCCTCTCTGTGTCTCTGTGTCTCAGAATCTGGACATCTGCATGCCCCAGTCCTTTGTCTCTCCCTGTCTCCATCTCTGCCCCTCAGCCCTCTCTGGCATCCTCCCTTGGTGACTTGCTGTCTCGAAGATCTCCGTGCTCTCTCCATCTCTGAGTTTCTCTTTGTCTCTCAACCTTATCATTTGGTACCAGATTGCTTCCCGGGCTTCAAGTCTGAGCCTTTCCAGCCTCGCACATGTGTTTCTTGGGCTCTTTGACTCTGTCTCTCCCATCTCAATCTGTATCTGTGTGAGTCTCTATCTCTGTATCTTTTTTTTTTTTTTAAAGACAGAGTCTCACTCTGTGGTTCAGGCTTGTCTAGAACTCACAGAAATCTTCCTGCCTCAGGTTCCATAAGTTTCTTTAATGTTCGACTGTGTCTGTGTCTGTGTCTCTGTCTCTGTCTCTGTCTCTCTGTCTCTCTGTCTCTCTGTCTCTCTCTGTCTCTCTCTCCCTCTCTCCCACATCCAGGAAGTCCCTCTCCATTGATTTATTCCTGGCCTCTCCTCCCTTCTCACCTCTTCCCATAGAAGGAATTTCAAAAGAACACAGAAAGTACCCAGGTGATGTGGCTCTCACCTGAAATCCCAACACTCTGGAAGGCTGAGGCAGGAAGATGGAAAGTTCAAGCACATTCTGGGTAACTTAACTTAGTACCTTTCTCGAACCATAAAAGAAGCGGGGGGTATAACTCAGTGCAAAGGCCCTGGGTTCAATCCCCAGTACCACAAAGAAAGAAAGGGGAAAGGAAAGGAAGGAAATAAGAAGGTTGAGTGTAATGGGAGGAAAGAAGAGAAAGGGGGTGGTAATGAATGTAGGTGACATCAGACGTGCTGGGCACAAAGGTTCGGGGCAGCCTCAGGGCTGAGCAGAGATCACGAGGTAACAGAGTTAGAAGCAGATCCCAGGAAAGGATTTGGGGACTGCAAACAGGAATAAGGTGGCAGTCACAGCAGGCTGTGCCATGCAACCTTGCTGGGGGGACTGAGCTGTGCTGGGGTTTGTGAGGGATCCCTGCTTTGTGGCACTAAAGTAACCTGTGGTTGCTAGGAGCACACTCTGTGTCCAGCAGAGAACTCAGGGCATCCATTCGGACCATCTTGTTCACCATCCAACAGCCGCAAGAAGCAGCTGCTATTGTTACCTCTTTTTCACAGATGGGGAAACTGAGGCTTGGAAAAGTGAAGTAATTTGACAAAGGCTACAAAACTGGTAAGTGGTGGAGGCCAGGCCAGGTCAGGCAATTTGACTGAGAACTGGGCTCTCAAACCCTTTGCATACTGTACACCCCAACCCACCAGAGTAAAACCATGCTCTGGAGGGCTCCAGCTCCCACACACGGGGCTGGGGGAGACCAACGACTGATGCCAAACACACTAGCATCCCACGGCCAAGGAAGGATTCTTGGGTCTCTCAAGGTGTGGCTGCCCACTCTGGACAAAGCCAGTGGAGGAAGAGAAGGGGGTACCTGGCTGGCCATAAGCTGGGCCTGAAGCTGTCCCTTGCTAGGGCAGCAGGACCAGGGTATGGCTGAAAATGTATGGAGATGGGAACCAGTGACATTCCAAACTCTGAGCCTAAGAAGTTAAATCTTCCCCAAATAAGGAAGGAAAGTAGGCAGGGTGATTATCAAACTGGTGTACTATAGTAAGAAAGTTACCAACCACCGATTTGGCAGAAAGGAATTCTCTTAAGAGTTGTGCAGATTTCTCACTGCACAAATCTGTCTGGTGGAGACTGAAACTGGCTGTTCTCCAGTTACTAGGTCCTACCATGGGGCAACACTAGAGGTGCTTACCAGGAGTGTTATTTTTGTTTTTGTTTCTGTTTTTGTTTTTGTTTTGCTGATTTGCACAATGGTGACTTGTGAGCACCAGGTATCCTGACCCTGAAATATATATGGATAAATTGGGGACTGTGTATGGGCCCCAGCAAGCAGAGGCAGCTTTGGATATCTGGACCACTCATTCATACCTCTGTCTGGGCAGGAAAGAGAATGATCCTGCCAGCATTCTTCCTGCTGAGCACAGGACCAGCTGGCCATCACAGGCACACGTGTCCCCAGGCACTCTGGCCAGCACTTCCCACAGGCCTGGCACCAGCTAATGCTGGAGGATCAGGTACCTGGACCAGGACCCCAGTAGGAGCAGGGCTGAGGGCTCTGCCCCACTCCACTCCAGTGGGAGAATCGCTCACATACTTTACATCAGAAATCAGGGCTTCTTCTATTTGGGTACCATGGCCATGACCACATAACACTGGCCTTCAGAAGGCCTCCCAGATATCTGTGCCAAGAGATGGGGTCTAATGGTCCCCCTGGGCCTCACTGCCCTCCTGTTAGCCCCTCTTTCCTCTAGTCTTTGTCAAGGCAGTCAGCTTCCTGCAGCTCTGCAGGACTGCTCTGCAGGTCTCCTGGGGCAGGGTCACTGAGGCCCTTGGTGTGGCTCACCCAGGAGGACCTGCCTAAACTTACCAGGGAGTTAGCATCCCAAGGGGCATCCCTTGACCTATGGGGTAGGAGTCAGTGGATAAATATTCCTATGCTCTGTCCCATCCAAAAACAGGTTGTCCCTTTGGTGGACAGTGCAGGAGTATCTTCCACGACCAGCCAGTGATGCAACCCTGTGTTGGCTCTCCATCCCTCCAGGTTCCATTCCCTTCTTTTCTCCTCAACTGCTTCTGGAATCTTCCCAAAACATACTGCCTGCATGAAAGTCTTGTCTTAAGTGTGTTTTTCTGGAAACAGCCCAGCTTTGATAGAAAGAAAGGGACCAGCATGCTGGTACTCCTGCTCCCTCCCCTGTTCGTTCCTGGAATAACAATAGTGGTGGCCCCAGAGTTGTTTCCTAGCGTCAGGCACAATGCATGGTCTTTGATTTGCATAATTGTGTCCTCCTCCAAAGCCCCATGCAGTACAATCTGCCTGCCTTACCTTCATTTTTGAAAGGAAACTGAGGATGAGAGAAGCCAAGTACCTAGCCAAGGCTGCACTGTTGCAGACCAAGGAGAAAGCTCAGCTCTGAGTCCAAAGCCATGATCTTACCCCCTCTGTCTCCAGGTGAGCACCCACTGGCACCATGGCAGGGCTGGGAGCCTGCAACCTGGCCACAGCAGCCTTGATCATCCTGTTCCTCCCCAGAAGTAAGTGTGATGATGGAGGGGGATGGGAAGAGGGGCCGTGCCTCACCACGAGGCTCCTGGGAATCCCAGATAATCTCAAGAGGCTCGAGACTGAGGCAGATGTGGGGCAGCTGGGCTCCCACCCACAGACCTCACCCACAAAGGCAGATGGCAAGAGGAGGGGGCTGAGGAGCTGGGCAAAGGCAGGAGCATCCAAGTCCTATAGCAAACCTCTGCCAGGCTGTAAGAAGGACCTCTGGGTCCTATGCAGCCTTGGTGGGCGACAAAAGAATCCTGGCTCAGATGCAGCTCTCCAGAGCCAGAAATGTCTTGAGAGGTAAGAAGTAGCTTTTCTCCAAGAGTAAGCTGAGGCCAGGATGGACAGAAGGCAGCATTTGGGCTTTTCATGCCACCTACAGTTTGCCATTCTCACTCAGCTTTGATTTGTTTGTAGTCTTTGAAAAATAGATAAAGCGTTGTTGGTTGGGAGGCCGTATAAAAACAAGTCACCTGGCCCTTGCACAGACACAGTTCTGAAGTGAACGGCCTTGTAAACCTCCTTCCTTCAGAATCCTGAAGTTCTGAGCCTGTGAAGCGGTAGAGCCCAATGCTGAGAACCATGACTTACTCTAGCACCTACACCAACTGCATCTCCTCTTAGGGCTTTTGCATCCCCAACCACATCCATCTAAGAACACCTGAAATAAGAGCAAAGTCATCATAGGCCAAGAGCTTGTTGACTCACTTCTTTATTCAAGAAATAGTCCCTGAGAGCCCTCTATGTGCCAAGCACAGGAAGTACCCACCGCAAGTAGCAAAAGAGCCACAGCCTCTGGCCTCACAGAACGCAAAACTGGAACTGGCATGCTGTAATCCCAGGACTTGGGAGGCTGAGGCAGGAGGATCACTGCCAGTTCAAGGCCAGTCTGGGCTACAGGCCAGCCTGGAAATAACAGAACCTGAGAAACAGACAGAGAAGTGAGCAATCACAACTAGAATTACAAAGGAAAATAAAAACTCTGACAAAGTAGAAGCTTGACCTGTTCTGGTTGGTCAGGGCATCTGGCTCCCCAACATGTGTAAATGTTAACCAGAGAAGGAAAGGAGAAGCCTGGAGGGGAGCAGCAGGAGCAGAAGCCCAGAGACTGGAGACATCACAAAGATTCCCAGGAACAGCACAGAAAGGCCCACAGGGCTGCAGCCAAGAGTTACAGAAGGAACACAGAGGGAAAGCAGGGGCGAGACCACAGGGCCGTGTGGAGGATCCCGGCCTTCACCCCCAAGCCAGCCACTGCCCCTCGTACCTCACCCATATTGTCACATCTCACTCTTCCAACAGCTCTAAGGTACGGCCTGCTGTATCTGCATGTTACAGATAAAAAGCAAAATGATAAGACGATGAGACAGAAGAGTCGCATACTCATACCACAGCCCTGGGTCACTTACTGAGTAAGACACAGATCCAGGATTGAATCTCAGCAGATAGCTCCCGGGCCCAGACACTGCTCTGCCTTCCAGAACAATGATGGGCCTCGGAAGCACTCTGATCAAGATACAGTCACACGATCAGACTTGAGTTTCTCAAAAAGATTGCTGTGGCTGCAGGGTTGTTATCATTCTAATCACTGCTTTTGCCATCCTCAGAGAGGGAGCAGGGGCAGGGACCAGCCTCTCTCTGCTGGGGAGCTGGAGCCAGCTTGCAGGAGCTGAGTGCCCCGTCTCTTCCCAACTCCACATTCAACACGAGAACATTGGCAGTTGGAACTCAGGTGTGATGAGAGTGTTTCTAGCACAGAAAGCAGCACTCACTGCAAATCAGGACTTGTTTTTCTCCATAGAGCTGTCACCTGTACATTGCTATCTGTGTCCCCTCCCCACAGCCTCTTGCAGGGCTCAGATCCACCCTTCCCAGCAAAACCACAGGTCTGGAAGGAGGAGGCAGGCAGGTGAGGGCCCCGAGTTTAGGGCTACAAGGCCTAGATTTCGCCCAGTCTGCCAAGTGGAAGAGTTCCCTCGTGGCTTGTTCTTCCCCACCTCAGGCATGGAGAAATGCGGACACATCAGCCTCTCTGCACCCATTGTGCGCTTGGAGGACCCTGTCACAGCCTCCTGCACTGTCAGCCAGAGCTGCAGCCACCTGGAGCCAGAGCCACAGATCTTATGGAAGCTGGGAGCAGAGCTGCTGCAGCACAGGGGGAAGCAGCAGACCCAACCCGACGGGTCTCAGCAATCAGTCATCACCCTGCCATCCCTCAACAGCACGCACACCTTTCTCCACTGCTATCTGAACTGGAGCAACAGTCTGCAACTCCTGGACCAAGCTGAGCTGTGGGCAGGCCGTAAGTCCCTCAAGCCATCCACCTTCTCTGCCAACATCAGAAGAGCTGTGACTTTCCAAGCTCCTGCTCAGTGAACGCCTCATGGGCACAATATCAGGGACCTAACGTGTTCCTAGCTGTACTGCGTACTGCTGTTAGCCCCATTTTCCAGATAAAGAAACCGACATTCAGAGAGTCTAAGTGACTCACTGGAGGTCAAATGCTAAAAAGATTTCTATCAGGCACCAAAGCTCTGAAAGTAGTCATACTCCTCCATGCAACTACTGAGCAAGCCAAGCTCCTCCTTGGACAGGGACCCAGAGAGGATCATCCTCCTCCAACCAGGCTTATTGTCAGCTTCACCTCACACCATCCCAGCGTGCTTTTCAATGCAGCAAGATGGAACTGGTGCTAAGCTGAAGGGCAAAGAGAAAACAAAGACCAGGCCCTAGCATTTAAGAAGCAACAGTAGGACTAGGCATGGTGGCACATGCTTGTAATCCCAGCACTGGGGAGGCTGAGGCAGGAGGTTGACAAGTTAGAGCCCAGCAACTTAGCAACAATACTGAGACCCTATCTTAAAATTTTAAAATGTTTTTTTTAAAAAGGTTGAGAAGGCAAAGGCCCTAGCTTCAATCCCCAGTTCTATGCATCAAAAAAAGAATAAATAATAGCAGTAGCTAACACCTAGACGGCACTTGCTATGTGCAAGCCCTATTCTGCCCACTTTAGATATAGTGAGGCATTTATCCCTTACAACAGAGGAGGCAGGTGTATCACCATTACCCCCACCGTTACAGATGAGGAAACTGAGACACTGAACAGTTAAGAAACTTCAAGATCACACTGTTAATGATGAAAACCCGAATAGTAAGCCATCACTGACAAAGGGATCCAAAGTTAGAGATGGGAACCAAGGGTTCGGGGTCTGTGAGCCTTGTACTCCCCTGTGACTTGGCTTCGGGGCTACGCCTCCAGATCACACTGTATTGGGACTAGGGGGTGGACGAGGTGACCCCACAGAGATCCGGTCTAGGGAACAAGGCCAGTGGTCCAGGGAGCCTTCTGTGGCCTCCCTCTCATCCCCCCCACTCCTCGCAGACCCTCCAGCCATGCCTTATAACCTGTCCTGCCTCATGAACCTCACAACAAACAGCCTCACCTGCCAGTGGGAGCCAGGAGCCGACACCCACCTGCCCACCAACTTCACCTTAAAAAGCTTCAAGTAAGTAGGGGTCCCCAGCTCAGCCCCCCGCCTTGGAATCCTGGGGAGGGGCATGAGTAGCACTGCGGGGACAGAAGGAGAAGGGAGCCCCGTTTTCCTCCTCTGCTTGGCATCAAGCCTGGCCTGTTGACAGGAGCCGGGGTGACTGTCAGACCAAGGAGGACCCCATCAAGGACTGCGTGCCTGCAGACGGGCAGAGCTACTGCTCCATCCCTCGCAAACACCTGCTCTTGTACCAGAATATGGTCATCTGGGTGCAGGCAGAGAACGCGCTGGGGACCAGCCTGTCCCCACAGCTGTGCCTTGATCCCATGGATGTTGGTGGGTGATCCTGGGTGCGCAGGGGAGAAGATCCTAGAGTGGGCAGACCCAGAGAGGCTCAGAGACCCTGGCAGACTAGGAGACCCTGGCAGAACCAGACAGAGTGGCACAGAAGAGAGACAGGGACAAACAGGGTACAGCTAGAGACAGAGTCATTCTTCCTTTCAAACAATTTCTTAAAGTATCCATTGTGTGCTAGATACTGTTCAAGGTATTAGGGATACAGCAATGAACAAAATATCTAAAATTCCATCTTGGGAATGTTACATTCTGGTGAGCAAAGTAAATAAAATAGAATGTCAGATGATAATGAAGGCGACCACTAATGTCCTTAGAGAAACTGAAGGGGCGAGCCACTGGAAACTGTACCAAGCAGAGGAAACAATCAGTGCAAAGGCCCTGGGGAAGGAGCATGAACTAGAGAACTAGAGGGCAACAGAACATATACACACAAACAGAACCAAGAGTCATGGCAACATGGACAGAGATAAAGAGAGACAGAGTCAGAGACAGACACAGAGACAGAGACAGAGACAGAGACAGCATGGATGGAGCCCCAGGAAGTAAAATAGAATCACAAATAGGGAGAGAAAAGGGGATATAGGATGGGGCAGGGAGATACCTGGTAACCCCACTCCTTGCAGTAAAACTGGAGCCCCCCACACTGTCGGCCCTGGACCCCAACTCTGAGGTGGCACGACCTCGGCCAGACTGCTTGTGGTTGCGCTGGGAGCCATGGAAGCCCAGCTTTTACATGAACCAGAAGTGTGAGCTGCGCTACCGGCCGCAGCTGGGAGAAGCCAGCTGGGCACAGGTGAGGTCAGCAGCAACCTCAAGGGTCTGAGGTGGGGGCCAATGGCAGGGCTCAGGGACCTGGCTCAGAGTCGTGCCCCTCCCTCCAGGTGGGCCCTCTGCCCTCCAGGACTACCCGGTATGAGCTCTGTGGGCTCCGTGCAGCCACAGCCTATGCCCTGCAGATGCGCTGCATCCGCTTACATCTGCCGGGTGACTGGAGCAGCTGGAGCCCCAGCCTGGAGCTGCAAACCACCCAGAAAGGTAAGGAGACCATGAGGAGCTGGGAGCGGCAATCGGGAACCAGTCTGGCCCCCAGAGCCTCCCCAACAAGCACCTTCCTTTCTCCTTCTGTGCGGTAGTCCCCATCGTCAGACTGGACACGTGGTGGCGGCAGAGGCAACTGGACGCCAAAACCACTGGTGTGCAGCTTTTCTGGAAGGTACCCCTCTACCCAACCCGGACCCTTACAGCTGGAGCCCAGGACCCCAACAGGTCTGGGGAGTCTTTTGCATTTATATGGGGCTCGCATGCACTTGGTGTGTGCCGAAGAAGCTGAGTAAGGATCTTTTGGGGAGGCGACAGCACAGGACTCACCTAAGCCCCAAAGGGTCAGTTCAGTAAACCGCTTCCTTCCCTCCCTCCTAGAACCTCGTGCAGGGGGACAGAGTCAAGGCGGGCAGGGGAGAAGCTCAGCTCCCCACCTAGAGGAGTCGCCCTACTCACAAGGAGCTGTACACCCCCTCACCATGTTCCTCCTCTGCCTGCCACAGCCCACACCCTTGGAGGAAGACAGCGGACAGATCCAAGGGTACCTGCTTTCCTGGAGTCCCACAGCCCACGCCGAGCTGGTTCTGCCCCTCTGCAACACCACAGAGCTGGGTTGCACCTTCCAGCTGCCTTCAGAGGTCGAGGAGGTGACCCTTGTAGCCTACAACAGCGCTGGGACCTCTCATCCCACCCCAGTAGTCTTCCTGGAGAACAAAGGTAGAGAGTAAAGGGGACCGGCAGTCCAAAGAGCAGCATGATATGGGGCAGGGGTGTGTGAACATGTAAATTCAGTGGTCAAATGTTCTGGCTTCAAATATGATGCCATCACTTGCTAACAGAATGATCTGGACAAGATTCTTCCCTCTTCACCCTGACTACTTAAGTCTAGCAAATGCAATCTGTAACAGCGCCTCCTGAGGGCTGCCCTGGGGGTGACAGGAGCTAACGCCTGTCAGTCATTGTTATCATCAGCCAGAACCTGGCTAAACTGGTGGTGGTGTCTACATACACACGCGTGTGTGCATGCACTCACGTGTACACAGGCAGCCCATTCTGCCCAGAGAAATTCCCAACATCGTCTGTGGGGGAACTGCTCCCTCTAGGGCCAATGATAAGGAACCCTGTGGAACTTTCAATGACAGCAAACAGCCTGCTGTGGCATGTGTGTCACAGAGAGGCCACCACTGCTCTAGGGAAACAGAGTCCACTCGAGAGCCTCCCCTACACACAGTCCCTAAACATGGGTCCCCACAGGTGGGATTTATAATCACAATCACAATAGCAATAGCTAAGTCTTATTCTAAGCTGCATGACCTTTGGTAAACTCCTTGACCTCTCTTGGTCTCTCATTTCCCTCATGAATAAAAAGGGAATTGTAGTAGGTTCCCTGGGGTGACCACTTTAGGACTTAGTGAACTAACACATATCAAGGGCTGTGCCCAGCACATACCAGGAGCTACCGAATGCCCACTGCTCTTATCAAGCACTACTCAGTTCTGGGCACTATGCTAGTCTTGCTCTGTGCATCATTTCATTCCATCAGCACTAAGGCCCTAAGGAACAGGGTACTGCATCATCACTTTTGCCTTACAGATGAGAAAACTAAGGCTCAGGTGTGGACCTGCCCAGTGTCACCCAGCTTGTAAGCAGCAAAGTCAGGATTTGAACCCAGGCTCCTGCTCTGGGGCCTGCATTCTTTTCACCTCCCTTCCACCATCTCCCACTGTCTCCAGGCCCACCCCTGGCCAGGCTTCACGGCAGGGCCCGAGACCGTCAGAGCCTCTGGGTGGACTGGGAGCTCCCCAATCCTGTCCCTCAGGGCTATGTGATTGAGTGGGGCCTGAGTTCCCCCAGCTCCAACAGCAGCAATGTGACCTGGAGGCTGGAACCCAATGGGAGCATCACGGAAACTCTGCTGCAGGGTGAGAAGCCAGGGAGGCTGGGATATGCCCGAGGGTGGGGAGACTAGAAAGATCAACCATGGGGCAGCCTGAACTGCCCCCCAGAAGCAGACACCCACCCTTCCCTGTTTCATCTCACAGACTCACAAGCAGGAAGTGCTTCCAACAGTCTAGCCTGTTCTCTTTCTACACCCCCAAGCCTGCCACCCTTCTAGCTCTCTTTTCCACTTCTCCTCCCTTCTTTTCCTTCCTTACCCCCATGAAATGATGCAGAGTCCCCAGAGGTCAGTCCCCAACCAGCGCCCACCCCATTCTGTCTCTACAGAGAACATCTGGCCCCTTCAGCTCTACGAGATCACTGTGACTCCCCTGTACCAGGGCACCATGGGACACACCAAGAATGTCTATGTCTACTCCCAAGAAATGGGTTCGTCAGCCACCATCCCCTTTCCAGAATCCTCTCCTCTCTTCCCCAAGGCCAACTTGGGCTCCAGAGATCAAGAATATGAGGGACCCTGAAGAGAGTCACTGCAACCCTAACATTACTCCTGGTTCAATGCAAACCCCTGAACCTGGATCAAAATCAGGTGGTTGGGCTATACAAACTGGATGATAAGTTTGCCAGAATTCAGAGAGCAACTCCCACAAAATCAGGTGATATCCTGGACATAAATCAGGTGTGACATCTGATAGAAACTGGCCAGAGCATCTGGCATAAACTCAGAGAGTGGCAGAAATCAGACAGTGAGCCAGACAAAATCAGGCCTGTTAGAAATCAAGGAGTGAGGATTTATAGCCAAATGACTGGATTCAAATCTATCTTCTGCCACTTATAAGCAGAACATGACATTTAGATAAAATTCTTGGGAAGACTGGGCATGGGAGGCTGAGGCAGGAGGATCATGAATTCAAAATCAGCCTGGTCAACACAGTCAGACCTTGGTTCAAACAAACCAACAACAAAAGTAATCCCTGGGAAAGCTGGGTGTGGCCGTGAATGTTTCAATCTCAGCATTTGGGAGGCTAAGGCAGGATGATTATTGTGAGTTTGAGGCTACATTGTGAGTTCAAGCCCAGCCTGAACTACATAGAGAGACCCTGTCTCAAAAAAAAAAAAAATCAGATAACCAAAATATTTCTGGGAAGACAAGGCTTGCACAGGAGCCCCTAGGACTCTCTTTTCTCACCAAGCCATACTATGTCCCACTTCCTGGTCCGGGCTCTCTGCTCTGCCTGCTCCCTCAGCCTCCGTTCCTCTCTTCCCACAGTCCCCCCTCGTGCTCCAGTGCTGCATCTGAAGCACATAGGTAAGACGTGGGCTCAGCTGGAGTGGGTCTCCGAGCCTGCTGAGCTAGGGAAGAGCTCTCTAACCCACTACACCATCTTCTGGACCAACGCTCAGGACCAATCCTTCTGTGAGTCTATCCTCAGTTCCTCTCAGCCCCAGAAGGCCCAGGAGGGGATGCTCAGCAGCCATCAAGGCAGCTTCAGCATCCCAGCCTAGGCTGACCACACACCCCACCCCCAGCCACCGTCCTGAATGCCTCCTCCCATGGCTTTGTCCTGCATGGCCTGAAGCCCGCTAGTCTCTACCACGTCCACCTCATGGCCACCAGCCAGGCTGGGGCCACCAACAGTACAAGCCTCACCCTGATGACCTTGGCCGTAGGTAAGGGCTTGGGGGTACTTACTGGGCATAGATGGCTGTGGGGAGGGTACCCCATCCAAAGGATCCCAATTCTGAGGGTAGATAGGAGCTCCCCTCCAGATGCCCTGGTCTGAGGGAGGAGACCCAGGCCCACCCTTTGGATCTCAGGCTAGAGGAAGAGACCCAGCCTTCTCACTGGCATTCCAACCTCTTCTGGCTTCCCTCACTCCAGGAGAGTCCGAGATACACATTTTCGTGGTTGTGTTTGGCATCCTGATTTTGCTCATCTTCTTCTGTGGGGCTTTCTGGCTCTGCTGCCACCCCAGGTGAGTGCATTTGAGAAAAGTGACACCCAGCTGCTGTTCTCATGGGGCACTACAGGGGTGGGCAGGCTAAGCCCCTTCCAACTGCCCTGGCCTTGGGCCCCTTGTGTAGGAGTCCTGGCCCTCCACTTCTTCCTCACTGCTCTAGGGAGAGCAGCTCTGAGGAACTGGGGCCAGGGATGGACAGCTGGGCGGACATGACTGGACTCAGCTTCACCTGCCCTTTTCTGCAGCAGGAAGAATCCACTGTGGCCAAACGTGCCAGACCCAGCCCACAGCAGCCTGGGCTCCTGGGTGTCCACCATCATGGCAGAGGTGAGCACCTGCGAGTAAAGAGTGAGGAGTCGGGAATTCTGGCCGAGGCTCGAAATGAAGGGCTATTCCTCTAAGGATGAGCACACGGGCCTTCCCAGCAGTTCTGGCAAGATAGTCTCCCTTGGATTAATGCATACCTGAGCCTGTCACCTCCCTTGAAACAGGAAGATGTGAATGCCAAGTCTAAGCAGCACATCCCTGCACGTCACAGAGCAGCATGAACGTCCCCACAGCTGTCCCAATTCAGGAAGGAACAGTGGCTAAGGCACACATCTTAAAAAACCATGCCCTCCCTCCTTTGACTCTGTGTCCAGGAGACCTTCCAGCTGCCCAGCGTTCAGGACCCCAGCACGACATCCATCACCAAGATCACCGTGCTGGAGGAAGAAGAGAAGAAGCCAGCGGCCTGGGAGTCTAGTGACAGCTCAGAAACCTGTGACCTCCCCACCCTTGTCCAAGCCTATGTGCTCCAAGGAGACCCAAAAGCAGCTCCCACACAGTCACAGCCACAGTCTGGCACCAGTGACCAGGTCTTTTATGGGCAGGTGCTGGGCAGTCCCACCACTCCAGGGTCAGGGCACTACTTTCGCTGTGACTCTACTCAGCCCCTCTTGGGAGCCCCCACCCCCAGTCCTAAACCCTATGAGAATCTTTGGTTCCAGATCAGCCCCCTGAGAGCGCCAGAGTCTCCATCCCCAAACCAAGAGGATGACTGTGTTTTTGGGCCACTGCTTGACTTCCCCCTCCTGCAAGGGCTCCGTGTCCATGGAGCAGAGGGACTAGGGGGCTTCTAGGATTTCCAGAGTCTCCCTACCTGGGCCTGCCTCTTGACAGTCCTGGACTGTCCAGAAAAGGGGAGAGGTCAGTAAAAACTACCCAGGCCCAGGAAAGCAGGGAGGCTCCCAGCTCTCCCTGGTTTCCAGCACATCTTTCCCTCTCTATTTCCATTGGCTGAGTCTCCCTGCATGATTTAAGAGGCAAGAAATGCTCTGTCCAGTTCCACCTATTGGCCTTTTGTGCTTGTTTCTTATAGTAATTTCAGCCTCATAAACTGATTTTTTTGGCACTGGGTTTTTCATTGTGTTTTTGTTGTTTTTAGAAACCATGACTGTGCCCGAATCACTGTTTCTTTTCAGGGATCTAGTAGTCAGGAGATTACGTCTCAGAATCATTCATTTGACTCGCTCTCACCTAGACTCTCCAGTGATGGCAAATGTTCTAGAGCTTTGAATGATAACAAACAGCCTACTACAGCATGAATACCATAGGTTCACCACCACCGACTAGGTTCTGTGCCGACAGCAGAGATCCAAAAACGACAGCTCAGTCCACTCTCAGAGAACTCCCAGTTCTATGGTGGAAACCCAAAATTGCTTATTAGGGTACAGCAGCAAGGATTATAGGGAGAGGCAGACTGCTGTGGAACATGGTGAGGAGCCTAGAATAACACTAATCCCTACTGGGGAACTATAATTAACACAAATTCTCTTACCAACCCAGAAACCCTCTACACAAGGATAAAAGAGCAAGAAAATAGTTTTGTGACTAAGCTTTAAACTTTACATGTGATGTTCATGGCAGGGAATCCACTAAAGAGTTTACAAAGACAGAAAAAAATCTTGCCATTTTATGTAGCCAAGTGGATACAACTCATTGCACACCCTGTCTCAAGATAAACAAGATAACTGAGTTCAATTCCTAGTACAAAAAAATGAAATGAAATAAAAACAATAACTATGGGCCAGGGTTTTAGCTCAGCAGCATAAGCGCCTGCCTGGCAAGTATGAGGTCATGAGTTTGATCCCCGGTACCAAATAAGTAAATAAATAAATAATGCTCAAGTGGGAGGACTTCACAGTACCAATTCTCACACATAGTTCATCTTAAATTCATTCGATGAATGGGGTACCCATTTATGTTTGCTAATTGCCTTTATCCAAAGTAACAGTACATTACTCTTGTCTTTACCACAAAAGGATTTGCAACTCTGAGCTCATCCTCAGCTGAAGTTGGAGGTCCAAACTCCCACAAGCAATTTGGAGGAAAAGGGAGCATTGTCATGCTTGAGGATTATAAATCAAAGAGATGGCTTCAAGGTCCTTGAGGAAAACATTGCTGGGTTGTAAAAGTGGAAAGAAGTTTATTTAGTTTGTAAGATTCCCATACATCTCCAAAGAGTAGAAAACCTTCATAGATCCAGGCGTGGGGGCACTACTGTAATCCCAGCACTTGGGAGGCTGAGGCAGGAGGATTACCATGAGTTTGAGGCCAGCCTGGGCTACATATGCGAGTTCAAGCCCAGCCTGAGCAAAAACCTGTCTCAGAAAAAAAAGAAAAGAAAAAAGACTTCACAATTACAATTTTTCTACAGTAAATGCTCTAAGAAAAGTGAAGGGAGGAGAATCTTTTTGTTCCAGAGAGAATGAAACTTTATTTCTCGTTTTTATTTATATTTGCTCTTGGTCCCCCATTTCACAAAATTATCGCAGCTAAGCATTATTGAATACTTCTGTTTAACTAAGTACATACTTGGCACACAAATCCCTCAGGTAAGATACATGCTGTTATTACCATCCCCTATTTGAGGGATGAGTACAGTGTGGTCCAGAAAATTTAAGTGACTTGCCCACGAGGTCACCTAATCAGTAACTCACTGAGTTAGGGTCCTTGCTCAGCGAACTGAGTCACCAAGCTACAAGCTTGCAAGGCTGAATCTCGGTTGTTCTCATAAGGCTGCATTCTGAGCAAGGCACTAGGGCCAAGGGAAAATGGGCGGGGTGGGGGCGGACCGCAAACCCCAAAGTAATCAGAGCCCAAGACCACGAATGTGTCGAGGAATTAAGAGCAGGATGCCCTCCAAGAAAAAGTGACACTTTACAGTATGTACTCCACTGGCCACAATGCCACGTCCTCAATCTGACCAGCTGCTAATCAAAACCTCTCAATTTTACCCAAAATGCCGAGCGCCTCGAGAAGCCTGCCCGCCGATCCATTCTCTCGATTCTCGTTTACTTTTGTCGCGCAACTGCCTCGATTACTCTGGCCTGAGCCATCATGGCGGCGCCCATGTAGCTGGGCTCTCGCGACCTGGACGGTGGCCGTGGCGTGGGCCCCGCGGGGGTCGAGAGTCACCATGCTTAAGGCCGCGTGGAGAGCAGTGAGCTTATTTGGATTCCGGGCAGCGACCCAGGCCCCAGTCTTTGGTCTGCCGGGCAGAGGGAGGGCCAGGCTTCTCTCAGACCAATGGGGCCTGCAGCCTCAAAGTGAGGAGCCGAGAAATGGGACGGCGGGAGGGAAATGGAACTCCGTGGAGGTCAAGGGTAGCCGGGAACCAGGATAGAGAAGAGCATCGGCTTGATACGGGAGAAAGGGTGGTGGTTGGAGAAGTGTGACAAGGTGGAGAGACATGAGGTAGTGAGGTTGGGGGGCGGAAATGGGACAGGCGCAGGGACACGCGCAGGGACACACAGACTATGGAGGAAGGTCAATTCAAAGTGCACAGAAAGGAACCGAGGCTGGACTCTAAGGAAAAGGGTCTTGCTCTCTCTGTTCTACCTAGGTCTTCTACAGGCTGCTTGTGGATATGCCACCCAGAATCCAGGTAGGAGATCATGGGGTGAGACCCAGGGCTGAAGAGCGCTTGGAAGGCTTGGGGTGGTGAAAGGGGACGTAGGCGTTGTTAGAGACACTGATGGAGTGGTCAGAGGAGTGGTCCAGAGGTCCTGAGCAGACGACCCTTACATCTGCAGAGCTCTAAGCCAGAAGCCTCAGTGATGAGGAGTAAAAGTTTTTACTGGACGTGAATGAAAACAGCTCGCCAAGAGAGTGGTGGCTGGTCAGATAGACCTCCCTAGAGTAACAGCACTGTGTCTATCCCTCTGACAGCTCTCTTACTAGTTACTTTGGGCAAGTTCTTTCCTCTCTGAGCCTTGTTTCTAGAATGTTAGTCTCCATTGGAAACCATTGCAGTCAAAATCCCATGATAACATGTGAAAGCATCCTTAGCAATGTTTCAGCAAAGTATTAGATAAAAGTTACTTATTAGTGTCATTTGCATAACAGCAGAACAGAGTCTGACTGAAGAGAACAAATTTACCCTATACCTCTCCCTCAGCTCTGAGAGATTGCAGAATGCACCAAACCTTAGGGTTTTATGTGTGTGTGTCCTCATACAACATGCTGCCTGTGTTTCAGGGTGTCTAAAGCTACCATCCTTCCTCATCTTTCATATTTCACTCATGCTGTGAGCCAGCAGGTGTTTTTTGGGTTCATATTTTACGGTAGGACATGGATCAGACTGTGGAAAGTTTAAAGTGAATCAAATTCCATCCTGTCCACAGGAGAACCCTTCCACGCATAAAACCTAATAACCATAGAATCAGGCAGATATGTGAGAGGTGCAAATATAGTACATGGTCTTGGGAAAGGCCATCTATTTATAGCATGAAATAACAAAGCAGATGTCCACAGAGTTTGCAGAGGAAAATCTGAACCTAGAGATATCTGGTGCCCTGTCTGAGACCCTAGAGCTCTCTTTCTCAGGAGAGTAGGCAAGAAAAGCCAAGACTAAGGAAATGAGCAGTGAAAGTTGACTCTTAATTTTCCATCCCTATGCATGACAGTCCAGCCCTGCCACGACAATGACCCACCCCCTTCTACGCTCCTCAAAGACTACCAGAACGTCCCTGGAATCGAGAAGTAAGCAGGGAGAAACCTACTAGAGGAGGCATGGGACCCTGGGAGCATTGGCAGGAAGTGGGGAAAGAGTGGCTTTGAGACCTAGCCTGCTGTATCAGAAGCCTGATTATAGCATGAGGCACAGATCTGCAGAGACTCGGCTATGTTGAGGATGGGTGGGTGGCAAGGCAAATGACACTCATGGAGTCTAGCTAGCTACTTGCTTTTTTGTTTATATCTGGGTAAAGACCTTGTATCAGGGGCTGGGGATTTAGCTCAGTGGCATAAGCGCCTGCCTTGCAAGCGTGTGGTCATGAGTTCGATCCCTGGTACCGATAAAAAGGAAAAAGACAAAAAAGAAAAAAAAAGACCTTGTATCATTAGGTATCAATGAGATAACATGCCTTTCAGGTCTTTGTAGAAATCTTTTATCCCTAGATGTTAACAAAAACCCACTGAAGGAAGAATGCCCCATTTTATAGATTATGAAGCTGCCCTGTGACAACTCCTACAGGGCAGAGCTGAGGTTTGAATACAAGTAGCCAAAGCCAAGATCCTCTCTGTCCTACCCCTGTCCAGCCCTGTCCCAAATGGTGGGAGCAGTGCTGTCTTCTCAGTCTTACCCATAGTGCAGTTTAACTTGGAGTGTCTCAAGACATTTGTTTTGTTTTTTGAGACAGGGTCGTGCTGTGTAGCTCAGACTTGCTTTGAACTGACTGTGTAGTGCAGGCTGGCCTTGAACTCTTGGCAGTCCTCCTGACTCAGCCTCCTGAGTGCTAGGATTACAGGGCTGCATCACCATACCCAGCTTCAAAACAGATTGGACCGGGGCTGGGGATTTAGCTCAGCAGCATAAGCGCCTGCCTTGCAAGCAGGCAGTTGTGAGTTCGATCCCCGGTACCGATTAAAAAAAAAAAAATTCCCAAAACAGATTGGACCATGTTTTAGCTGAAATGAAAATCTTTACCTCTCTGTGACAAGACCAAAACACTTGAGCTGAAAGTTTACTTTCTATAGATACCACATTAGTTATTCTCTGCCCAGCAAGCCAGAGGCATGCTGACCACCCTACCCCAGCCCATCCCGATGGTGCTGAGAGTATATCCCAGGGCTCCATGCATGCTAGGCAATTACTCTACCACTGAGTCACACCCCTAGTCCTCCAAGCTGACTTGATTTTTTTTTTTTTTTTTTTTTTTTTTTTTTTTGGTACTGGAATTTGAGCACAGAACCTTGCACCTGCCAGGCAGGTACTATGCTGCTGAGCTATGACCCCACCCCACCTCCAGGCTGATTTGAATCCCTGGGATATGGCTCCAGAGAGCCTTCATAGAATTATCAATTATCCTTGGTTTTTTTTTTTTTTTTTTTTTCTTTCTGTCCTAAAAATTGAACACAGGGCCTTGCAAGTGTTAGGCAAGTTACCACTGAACTGGATCTCCAGCCCTCTTAAATTACATTTTGAGACAAGGTCTCCCTAAATTGCTCAGACTGGCCTCAAACTTGCAGCGCTCCTGCTTCCCAAATAGCAGGGGTTATAGGTATACACTGCCACATCCAGCTATACTTGCTTTTTTTGTTTTAATTTTGTTTTTATACATGCTTTTTAAACTAAAACAAAAACAGTATTTCTTTGCCTTTTCTCTCTCCTCCTATATTTGCCTCTTACTGCTCTGGGTTTCCATAGGGCTGACGATGTTGTGAAAAGACTGTTATCTTTGGAAATGGCTAACCGGGTAAGTCCCTGTGCCAAATCTTGACCATCCCTTCCTCCTCAGTCTCTCTCTCCTAGACAGCACTCCCATATTACTCCACCCACAGCACTTATCCCTGATACACTGATATTCTGTGTCCATGTGTCAATACCCACTTCAAAGGCAGGGATAGTTTTCTTCTTCCACTGTACCTCTGACACCTGACAGCAGCAGGTGCTGCATAAAGATGTATGCATGAATGAATTTGCAAACTTTGGGGACATTCTTCCAACAAGGATTTCTCAGTGTTTTTGGTCTTGGGCTCACCTAGATGTGAATAGCCATGTGATTAACCAATGCCTTGATTTAACATGCTGCACTAGCCTTATGGTCCGAGTTGTTATAATTGCAGCCATGGGCTTGAGGACAGGAGGGCTAGATCTTTGGAGGTGACTGCACAGATTTTCTTAACCTGTCTTCAACAGAAAGAAATGCTGAAAGTCAAGCAAGAACAGTTGATGAACAAGGTCATGGCAAACCCTGAGGACACCAGAGCTCTGGAGACTCGAAGTTGGTGAAGGGGCCCTCAGGGAGTGGGGGTATCTGCTAGCTAGGGCTCTTGTCCACAGGCCCACTTAGATATGGCTTGGGAAAGGGAGAGACATGAAGGACCTAAGACAATGACAGTTGGATTCTGAGTCCCAGGCTCTGTGGTACTGGCGTCAACACCCAGATCCTGCCTTGTACCTCCAAGCTTGGACAAATCAGCAGTCCTCTCTGGAGCCTCTGCTTCCTAGTCTAAAATTAGGGAACGTAAGGGTGGGTACTGCCGCCTAACTCGTGGCGGGATTGTGAAAAGCTAGGGGAGGGGATGTAAACATGCCTTGGAAACTAAAGCTCATACTCTGTGATAATAATAGGAAGATTAACATCCATAGAACCCTCATGTGCCAGACAGACAGATGGAGCATTCCTGCTTTGGTTTTGAGCTGAAACTGGCTTTAAATCTCATTAGATGTGAGTAAAAAGCCCACTACCGCCACCCCTTGTTTTGGGTGGAGTCTATCTTTATTGGCCACTGGGAGCAGTGAGGTAGATTGGTGGATGTTTCCTTTCCACTACTACAACCTCTGCCTCCTCCCCATTCCCACCTTCTACCAGAGATTAAAGTCAGCTGAATTCTTGGCCACTAAACTCCATGGAGAAGGTTCAGAGGCCCAAGTCCTAGCCCTCCCTCCCTAGCTCCTTTTGCGAAAATAAGTTTCAGTTTCCCTTGGTTCTCTGAGGCCTAGAGAACCATCTCAACCACTAAAAGAATATTTGTCTCATATTGCCTATTTCTATGTTAACATTGCCACTCTCTCCCAGGTAGGCAGGAATAGGTGGCCTGTTGGCAGTCAGAGAAGTAATAACTAGGGTCCACTTTAATAATAATAATAATAGCAGCTAGCATGATGAATTTAAAGTCTTTAGGCCCCATGCCTATGTTTGACTGCTATGTCCAACACAGCTCTCAAATATCCCCAGGAGAGGACAGTGGAGGATGAAAAAAGAAATGGAGACAAGAGTCAGCATGTAGAAAGCTGGAGTCAGGTGGCGCCTCTCTCCTGATAGGAGAAAAGGAAGCACCCAGTGGTTGCAGTGTGTTTATTTATATACTCAGGGGTTGCTATCAATTGAAAGTCCTCTGCCTAACAACTTGTTTGCCTTGCTCACCTCAGGAGCCTCTTGTTCTAGGAAATGGAACAGCTTGTTCCTGTGGCTCACCTCAGGTGCTCCACATTCTTGGGGCTGGGCTTGCTTCAGCCCTGCACATGTGTTTAATCTCCAGCTTCAGCCGCTCTGTACACTTTACATGTGTCACCTCATTTAACCCTCACCACTATCTCTCTTTGCCACTTCACAGAAGAACAGTCTACTTGTGGAGTGATAACTTAACTAGGAGGTGAAGACTAGGACTTGAAACCAAGCAGTCAGGGTTAGGGTTAGGCCCATGTTAGATTGGTGCTGCCTTTCCTAGATTACTTAGTTTTCTGATGGCCAGTTTGTAGCTCAGAGTCTGCCCTAGAGAAACGCTCAGCAACTAAAGCTCATCTCTCAGAATCTTCATTCTGCAGCTAAGGTGGTAAGGTAGGGCTAAGGTTCCTGCTGTTCTCGCAGTGTGTGTGCTGGGAAGGCACAGTTCTGACAACCTTCCTGTGTGCCCTACTGGGAGAAATCCAGAAATGGATTTCTGCCCCCATCTCTCCAATACAAATGGGAATCAAATACGAGCCCCCGTATTCCGAGGCCTTGGAAGACAAGTGAAGCTGATAGTTCTGAAATGTAAGTGGTAGAAGCACAGAGATAAAGGTGGCTGGAAGAGACCCTGTCCCAGAATAAAAAATAAAAAAATGCTGGGGATGTAGCTCAATGTGAAGGCCTTGAGTTCAATCCCCAGTACTGTTTAAAAAAAAAAAAAAAAGAAAAGTAAAATCCTATTTACCCTGATTTGGGATGACACCTTTATAAAAGTAAAGAATTCCCCTACCTTAGACATTGCTTTCTAGGGCAAAAATAACAGAAAGTCTTTTGAGATCTTGAAATTCAAAGTACTTGGCATTTGGGACTCACAGAGAGGTGTAGATGAGCACTGGGGATTGTTATTCTCTCATTTCTTAAAACATAACACAAGCTGGACCCCTTCCTTCCTCTGTGCCCAGTTCTCATCCTCTGTGGTTTGTGGTTTCAGTTGTTGCCTTGACTGTCAAGATCCGCAATTATGAAGAACATATGCAGAAACATCGAAAGGTAAACCCTAGGCATCACTCACAGTTACACAGCAGCCAGATGGGAGAGCGGTCTGAGAGGTGAGGGGATCTGGGTCCCAAGAAGCCAGTGACTATGACACCAGAGTGCCCGCTCCTCACTTCATTCCTGCCTCCAGAGAAGTGGGAGCCTTTCAGAGCTGTGCTGAGTATCATCAGAAGACTTTAGAGCATGGTCACTGTGTACGGTACCCGTGAGTGCTGAGTAAATATGTGTTGAATGTGTGAATGCAGTCACATTGCCCTGTTCAAACCCCAGCTCTGCTACTTCTGGTCAGGTGACTGAGGAAGTTACAGGTCCAAGCTTCATTTCTGTTACCTGTAAGATGAGGATTGTCACCAAACATGGTGGCATACACTCTAATCTCAGTGCTCAAGCTAAGGGTGGTAGTGCATGCCTGTAATCCTAGCACTCAGGAGGCTGAGGCAGGAGGATCACCAAAAGTTCCAGGGCAGCTTTAGCTACACTGTGAATTGAAGGCCCACCTAAACTGAACAGTGAGATCCTGTCTCCAAAAGAGAGAAAGAGAGAGAGAGAAAGAGAGAGGAAGAAAAGGAAAGGGAGATGAGAATATTGCTCACAGGATTCCAAGAATTACCTGAAATAGGAATAGCCAGCATGATGCATTTAAAGCCCTAGGTCCCGTGCTGAATGTTTTATATGTGTCGTCTCATTTAACCCTTACAACTCTTTGCCATTTCCCAGAGGACAGTCTAGTTGTACAGTGATTCAGTTACTCCTCAAGGCTCCCCACTAGTAAGTGAAGGCTGGGACCTGAAACCAGGCAGTCTTGCTGTAAAGCTACTGTTCTGTTCATTTGGGGTATGGAACACCAGCACCACTGCAGAGGTCCCTTCAGGAAGAGTCTAGGCATTCCTGCTTACTAGGGGTGGAGAGAAGCATAGATGGTACAGGAGAAAGAGCATGAGTTTTGGAGTCAGATCAGTACACCTGACCTTAGCAACCACAGTTCTAAGGACCTTTGGTGAACCTTTATTTTCCTACCTGTAAAACAGAAATAACCATGACAGTACCTCTCAGAATTTCACTAACATTTGCAAAAGATTGTTGGGAAATTTCAATGAAATACTAAGTGATCATCCTTCATTACTGTGAATAACAGGAACATTTGTGGGATGCTAAAAATAATACAGACTCTCAAATAGGACAAAGCCCACAAACGCTATCTACTGATGAGCATTGACCAGAGGAAGAAGATGCTCAAAAATCTCCGGAAGACCAACTACAATATATTTGAGAGGGTATGCAGAGAATTGGGGATCGAGTACACCTTCCCCCCTTTGTACTACCGAAAAGCCCACCGCCGCTTCTTGGCCAAGAAAGCTCTGTGCATCCAGGTATGAGTCAGGACTGCTGTTCTGGACGGCCTCGCTTTGGGACAAATGGAATAAATGGAAGAGAGGGGTTGTCTGTTGCTCACAGAGCCCTAAACTGGCCCAGGGGAGGTCGCTAGTTACCAACCACATGAAGAGAGGCTGGGGTTATCATTTTTGAGAGGCTGAGGTTTCATGTACAATTACAAAATCTTCTCATGTCCTCTTCCATCCCCCAGGTTTTCCAGGAGGTACAAAAGCTGAAGAAGCAGAAAAGGGCCTTAAAAGCAAAAGCAGCCCTAAAACAAGATGACCATCAGAATGAAGAAGCCCATTCTAAAGCCTATGCAGAGGCACTCGAAGAAAACTAATAAAGTATATAAAAATTCTTTCTGCCTTGAAGAGTTATAGGAAAGAAGATGGCATCTTATTTTGGCTCAAGGAAGAGGAGGAATTTATTCTTTCATCCAACTCTAAGATCTAAGAGTTGTCTAAGGGAAAGTCTCTTTCTACCACAGAACAGTCAGATAAAGGAGAAGGCCAGCTGTTGTAACTACTTTCTGGTCTGTGCCCCAAAGGATGAGTAGTTCACTGGGCAGAGGCAGGAATAGCATCCAGGCAGGAAGAGTTACAATTACAAAAACATAGACGTCCAGAGGGTACATATTGAGGGAGCAGTGAGACTCAGCTGCAGCTGGGCTTCTGAGGTTTTTTTATGCAAGGCTGAGAAGCTTGTACACTGTCCCCTAAGGAATAGCGCAAGTTTTAAGACCAAAGGAGTGATGCCAACAGCAGTGCTTTGTTTTAAGTAGTTAAGCAGCATCTGTGTGGAGGATAAATGAGAGGGGAGACCAAAGCAGGATTATTGATACAAGGACAAACTTGATAAAAACTATAATTCTATCCTCAGGAAACTGTACATGCCCAGTAACTAGGCAGTTGCATAGGCATAGATAAACATGAACAGAGAATGGAATAGTCCTGGGTAGGCAGACATCAGATGATAATCTGCTCAGAGTACCAAAATAAAGTACCATAGGTTTGGTACATTAAACAGGGAAACCTGTTTTCTCAAAGTTCTGGAGGTTATGAAGTCCATGGTCAAGGTGCTGCCTGATTCCATTTCTGATGAGGGCTTCCAGCTTATAGGGGCTTTCTTGTGTTTTCACATGGCCTTGCCTTGGTGCGTGCACTGGGAGGGGAAAAAAGCTCCGTATATGTCCATGCCTTGCACAGTCTATCAAGAAGGCCCCACTGCTGAGCATGGTAACACCTGTAATCCCAGCACTCAGGAGGCTGAGACAGGATTGCCACAGGTTTGAGGCCAACCTAGACAACATAGTGAAACTTCATCTAAAAAAAAGGGAAAAGGCACACATTCAAAACCTAATCCAACCTTACCTCCTAAAATACCCGACCACTGAGGTGAGGGCTTCAACAGATGAAGAGAAGGGCAGGAGCTGGGCATAGACATTCCGTTCATAACTGAAGAGACTTTAGACTTCTTCCTGATACAGGAAGCCAGTGAAAAAAAGCCAAAAAGGGAGACAGATATGTGCAAGTGCTGTCCAAAAAGCAGTTAAAATGTACATCTGGGTCTCAGTAGAGAGGTCTGGACCAGGCCAGTTTCAGAAGTTGTTAAGGTGATTGAAGTCTAGCAAGAAGTAGAAGGGGAAAAAGCTTCATGGGGATGAGAAGGATTGCTCAGGGCATGGCCTGAGTCAGAAAGAGCTGCTGAGGGTGAGGGGAGAATACAGAGCCCGAGGAGTTGTTCAAGTACCACCTCCAGGGATTGTAGAGAAAGCATTTAAAAGGCCGTTCTTCTGAGTGGACATAGCTCCTTCAAGGTCCAGTGCTAGAGGGCCAGGTGCCAACATTTCAGGGGACTGGCCAATGGGAAGGAAGAAAAGGAACACATTCTGTCTTGGGACCTACAGGAAAGGCATTGTCTGAATGCTGCCTTAAGCGCATTATCTTACCTAAGGCCACCTTTACTCCACACATTAGCTGATTTTACCATGAAAGAACTGAACTTAGGCTAGGTAACTGTCCAAACTCAAGCAGCTGGTTAGAAACAGGCCTAGGGGGCCAGGAGTATAACTCAGTGGCACAGCACTCGTCTGACAAGTGCAAGGTCCTGAGTTCAGTTCCCAGTACCTGCCCCCCAAAATTAAGAAACAGACCTAGGATTCATACTCAGCTCTACAAAGCATATATTCTGTCCACTGCATAGGGACAAAAAGTCTTAAGAAGCTAAAGGAAAGTCTACACCATAACAAACTTAAATCTCTTTCGGAGCCAAGCAGGCAACAAAACCATGAAGGCCCAGCATAACATAATGATCCTGTATATTATATTTCTATCCTATTTATACTCCTTAAGAGCCAGTGCATAGACCATTCAAAATAATCAAAGACTTGCACTGGCAGCTTTGAACAAAAGTAGACTCCTGATACTGCGATGTCGGCTAAGGGAAGAACCACAAAGTATTTGGGGTGAAGCATGGAGGAGGAGGGTAAGAGATTAATCCCAGGTAAAGGGAGGTATGGAATTAGGATACTGAGGAAGCTCAGATTGTGAGTTCAGACTTTCAAAAAGCATGGATAGAATGAGGGGAAAAGGAAAACAGGCTAGAGTGTGGGACAAAGATGATAACATGGGAAGGACCTCATATTAAGGGCTCATATTGAGACTTCCTGGTGGTGTGATTATGAGGAAAAGAAGCTGGGCCTACAGAAAGGATAACTTGAGTCCATCTAGACCAGAAGTCTGAGGAAGTTTGGTGCAAAAGTTGGCTCTGGAAAGGTGGTTGGAGGTTTAGCCAGAGTGGACAGCATGGAAAGCCATGCCAAGTCATCTAGACTGTGGCCTGCCAAACAGCAGGAGGCCACTAAACAAATGTGCATTGGAAGTGGTGTTTTTTTGGGCCAGTGATACAGCTCAGTGGCACAGTGCCTGCCTGGCAAGCCAGTGCTGAGTTCGATTTCCAGTACAAAAAAAAAGAAAGAAGGTGTTTTCTGAAACTTACCTGAGATTCAGTGCAGCAGCGTGCAGACAGAAAACAGCAGAGATACAGAATATAATGCAAAAGAAAGGAAATTAAAGTTTAAATGTGAGAAAAATTTTGGGAGAAAAAGCAAAATCTGATGAGTTAACACAGGACTTGGACACATTTGGAAGTTTCAAGTCTTCAATAGCTGGAGGAAAAGACAAGTAGCTTGTTTTAGAAGTAATAAAATTTACAGGAATGGTCGTTCATCACAGTAGTAAAAGTCGTTTATGAACAGCAGATGACTAAGTCAAGGTGATCCTTGAGCTCAGAATGGAGGAGAAAGAGCCAGGTGTGCTGACACACGCAAACTCAGAGCTCAGGCAAGTTGAAGGCTACCCAGGGCTACATGGGGAGTTGAAAGCCAGTTTAGATTACATAGTGAGACCCTGTCTCAGAAAATAAGACAAAAAAAAAAAAAAAAAAAAGATTCAGGTGAAGAAAAGAGCCACTGCATTCAAAGCACAGAAACAGTTGGCAGGCCTGGTTTACACTGGTTCACAGAGCAGAGGAGGACTCTTCGGAGTTCAGAGTCAGAAATATGCCTGACTTGTCTCACTGTGCTGAAATGGGGAGAGTGGGAATCCCAAATATACTTTAGGGAGGAAATACAAATGAATTAAGGACAGGTTCTCTCCCTCACATAAAAGAAACGTCAGTGGTCATTTTTGTGAAAGTTCTCCTGCCGTTTCCTACGATTTTACAGTTCCCCTCAGCAGCCCCGAGAGGTGATCACGACCTTCACTTTACAAACGAGAGAACTGAGTTTCAAAATCCTGCCCAAAGTCATACAGCAGAAGGGAAACCGTGATTGCAACCAGGTGTCTACGACCCGGGTCTGCTCCCAAACCGTTTTTTCCTGGGGCTTTGTTTGTTCACATGCCGATAGACAAGCCATGTACTCTCCCTAAGGTGGAGACTCGGGAAACTCAAACACACCGCCCAGGCAGCTGCGGCCCAGTACTCTCCTCCTACGTTCCGACTCTGACCAATCCCCTAGGGCGGTCCCTGCCACCTAGTCCAATGAATGCTTGCTCTTAGAACACCTCCCACCAAACCACCTTCTGATTGGCTCGCTCTGTCGAGTTTTGGCGTTGCCCTAGCAACCAGACTCTAGACGCGCTGCGGCCTCCAGGCTACTGGCTTCAGAACCCTGGAGCTCTTTACCTGCCTCGCGGGTTTCCAGCACCATGTCGGTACGGACGCTACCTCTGCTCTTCCTGAACTTGGGTGGGGAGATGCTTTACATCCTTGACCAGCGGCTGCGGGCCCAGAACATCCCAGGAGACAAGGCCCGCAAAGGTGAGAGGGGTTCGGCCCACGCAGCCAGACCCACAGCCCCTCTTTCCCAACACCCACAGCCCATCAGCACAAATCACTCTTACTGCTAGGTACCTTTCTTATAGCTCTCATCCAGTTGAAATTCCTCAGGAGTCGAATTCTCCAAAAGATCTTTTCCCAGCAGAAGAAATTAATACCCCATGGATATAATTAGGGAGCTCGGTCCAGCATAATCTCCCCATCTCGTCAAATGGGAGAGATAATTTCCCAACATTTCTTGAAAATCGGCCCCTTGCAAAAGCAGGAGTCCCACCAGCTGCTCATCTCCTGGCAACACACTCTGCTAGTTCAAGCATGCCTTTATCCACAAGGAACAGGTTCTGAATCTCCATCCTTCTGGGTAGTATCCTCCTCACATAAGCTGGAGATTAGTCTTGCTCATTTCAGAAACCATTTCTAGAAATCTAAGGTTCTTAAGTAATACAGATAAGGAAATATAGAGAGCTCATAAATCTTTTCTTCACAACTGTTGGAGAAAATACAATTGTGAAAACATTATATGAGAGCTTCTAAATGCAAAATCTGGCTCTCATATCCACCACAGGTAATTGCCCACAGAAATAGGCACACAGAATACTGTGCCACTTTTTTTTTTTTTTTTAGACAGGGTTGTGCTATGTAGTTCAGGCTGTCCTTAAACTCACATTGTAACCCAGGCTGGTCTCAAACTCACAGTGATCCTTCCACCTCAGCCTCCCAAGTGCTGGGACTATAGGTGTGCGCCACCATGCCCAACTTGTATGCCACTCTTTTCCATTCCCTGTTCTCCTACCTTCTCTGCGACTGCAACCAGGTGCCTACGACCCGGGTCTGCTCCCAAACCGTTTTTTCCTGGGACTTTGTTCATTCACATGCCGGTAGACAAGCCATGTACTCTCCCTAAGGTGGAGACTTGGGAAATAACTCTTTCGTCAAATTTTCTGGTATTAAGTATGAATAAAATATATCTTAAGGAGAAGGAAAAGTTGATATAAAGATAATTGAGATGGCTGCTGGTTAAAATATTTATTCTTTGCTGGGCATTTTGGCCTACATCTGTAATCCCTGCTAGTCAGGAGGCAAGGGGCATGGTGAACTTGAGGCCACCCTAGACAGTTTGGCCAGACCCTGATTCAAAATAAAATTTAAAAAGGCTTTGGAGGGAGCTGGGGATTTAGCTCAGCGGCATAAGCGCCCGCCTCACAAGCAGGCAGTCGTGAGTTCGATCCCCGGTACTGATAAAAAGACAGGGGGAAAAAAAAAAAAAAAGGCTTTGGAGATGTAGGTCATTAATAAGAGTGTTCCTGGGTTTAAGTCCTAGTACTGAGGGAAAAAGATTATTCTCCAGTAGTGTCTGTATGCTCAATTAATGTTACCTATTTACACGTATCATATATAATACATACTTTTTAACTATTGTATTTTATGATTGTGTCAAAGTTCATGCACACCTGCTTTTTGGTTTTTGGTTTTTGGGTTTTTTTGACACAGGGTTTCACTATACAATTCCGGCTGACCTTGAATTTACTTTGTAGCCTTGGCTGGCCTCGAACTCACAGCAGTCCTCCTCACACGAGTCCTGCCTCAGGCTCCTGGATTACAGGCATGCGCTACCATGCCTGACCCACCACTCCCTTTATTCTTCAGTCTGCTGTCAGTGAGGCTTTCTAAATAGCAGATGTGTCCATATTCCCCTGCTTAAAACCTTGTGCCAGCTTTCCACTGCTGTCTGTATGCAGGCCACGTTCTCGAGTGGGGCATTTTGGGGCCCTTCCACATCTGACCTCCCACCAATGCCTGCCTGCCTTCTACCCTCAACTGCTTGTAGATCTCCGTTGAAACCACGTCTCCCTGGGTGCAGCCCCACCGCTCCATTCTTCCCTCTTCCATCCTGGTCAGTCAGCTGAAGAATCCTCTTCCTTTGGGGCCCTCACAGGGAGAAAGGGCCTGCCTGTTCTCTCATAGCACCCTGTGCTCCGTAGCACTCCACGCATGTTTCTCTCTACCTTGTCACTTGGCCATGTTCTTCTGATGTGATCTGTGTATGTGAGTTTCCCTCCATTTGATTATTTGATTCTTCTTTGTACTCCAGCACACAGCCTAATGCCTAGACTAGCGTAAATCAGTACTCAGTAAATGTTTGTTGAACTGATCATCTAAATTGGCAGTTTTATATGATGTCATTTCTTCCTCAAGAGGGCTGTTTTCCTGGGTGTTTATGTGATCTGATTTCATTCAGGCTAATGGCACCAATAGGGTAACAAGCCAGGGTTCCCTGCTGGTAGTCTGCATCTTGGAAGACAATATAAATTAGCAATTAACAGTATACTTTCTGGAGTCACAGATCTGGGTCCCTATTCCAGTTTGGCCATTTAGTTTGTTGTATTACCTTAGAATATAATCTCTATAAGCCTGTTTATCATTTTTTTAAAAAGGAAGGTAATAATCAAGGTTATGTTGAATGAAGCAATATATTTAGCAGGTTTGCCACAATGAGTAACAGGTCTTATCTTTCAAGAGGAGGTATAGGCAAGCCCCTGTGAATAATAGAGGATGGGCTTTTAAAAGCTATGGTCCTTCTGGTTTTACTAGATTCGATCTTAAAGAACTTAGCCATCTTTGCTAATTCACTTTCTTTCTTTTTTTCTTTTCTTTTTTGAGAAGAAAAACTGTGTAGTTCAGACTGGCCTTGAACTCCCTATATAGTTGAGGCTGGCCTTGAGCTCACAGTGATCCTCCTGCCTTAGCCTCCCAAGTGCTGGGATTACAGGTTGTGCCACCACCCCCAATTTAGTAATTCACTTTCACACATCCATTCCACACTTTTGGGCTGAATATCGTGCCACCTAATGAGATGCTAGATGGACCCTGATCCAACCCTCCTTGTATCCCTGGAGATAGGGCTATTATTAGCCCAGTCCAGTAACTGACTGTAAAACTAAGAGGCATAGCTTCAAAATGACAAAAATACAACATGTTTCTTTGTTGTTGTTTTGGTTTGGTGTTTGGTGGGGGGGCCCTGTTTTGTGAGACAGAGTCTCACTATGCAGTTTAGGCTAGCCTTAAACTCACTGTGTAGCCCAGGCTGGCTTCAAACTTGTGATCCTCCTACTTTAGCCTGCCAAGTGTTGGGATTACAGGTGTGCAACACTACGTCCAGCATATAACAATTTTTAAAACTATTCAAGTCACATAAGTAATGTTACTATCCCCATTTTATAGATTAGAAAACAAGCTATTTTGCACATACATGGTAAGAGGAGGAATAAAGGATTTGAAAAGCCCAGAGCCTCAGGCGTGGGAGGTCACACCCCTAAAACATTAGGCCTTTATTGCTTCACTGTGCTGTCTTACCTGGGGTTGGGGCTGCATCAGAATCCGCAGGGCTGGCTAGGTCAGGAGGAGAGGAGAGCTCTGGGGGGAAAAATGTATCTAATATCCCCCACTGGTTTTATTTTTTTAAGTGACAGAGTAATTATCTGATGGTGATTTGTAACAGCAAGAAAGCACTGTGGAGAGCATGGGGATTGGAAAAGTGGTGACACACTCATCTCTTCCGCTGTTTTGAGCTGGTGTGGCTGTAGGAGCAGGAGCCGGAGCCACAGTGACAGATGCCCGGACTCAGAAATATAAAAGCCTTGACATGGTAAACTGGTCCTCATGGAAGCTCTGAATGGAAGTCATATTTCTTCTAGCTGTTTTCATTATCTTACACAACTAATTGGTCTCCTGGAGGCCATCCCTGATCCCGCAGGGCCAATGCAGCTTTACAGTTTCCTCCACCGTGCAGGCTACTTAGCATTTAACAGAAAGGAAGTGCACGGCATGGGGCCTCACATTTTAAGCCGCAAGAACAATAAAAGCTACTTTTGCCTCACTCTTGACCTTTTAAATCAAAAATAAAACCCTATTACACTTTGTTTATATTCCTTATTTTACGAAGAGGAAACTGAGGCACAGAGACGCGAAGTGATTTTTTTTTCCCCCAAGACGTGCTTACTGAGCAACTATATGGCAGCGAGGTTCTGTTTTCATTTTTCTAGTTCCAATTTAACAGTCAGCCCTAGGTAGCCTTGGACCTGCTTTCCACTTAAAATATAACTAAAATGAAATTGTCAAAAACAAGTCATCTAGAGAAATAGAAAAACAGAGCTTGGGAGGCCTTGCCTGGGCCCTCAGGAGGGAAAGGGTGTGCACGCACAGCCCTCCAGTGCCCTCTGGTGGCCCTACATCTCGCTGCAGACTAAAGTGCATCTGCCAGTTCCATTTTACTGAAAATACTCGCTATCCCCAAGAGATGAGGCTGCTGCAGCACCACTGTTTCCAAATATACTTTCTAGAGGATCAAAACTCATGTCCTCTGAGTTACCCCCACCTATCGTGCTAGGTCACCCGTGAAATAAATGCCACAGAAAGACAGAAGGTGTAGACAGCATGCCTAAGAAACCAGTAACTGCCATAAAGCCAAACTGGTGCTGCTCCCTCTATGTGGTCTCTCCAAAAGTGGTAATCCTTGAGGGAGAAGATGGTAGCTTTTCCCAAAGGAATCTGGCCTTGCACTGGAATCCTTGGCAGCCAGCGAGGGTGTGGCCCCAGGTGTGCCTACAGACTGGCTTCCTAGGAGCTCTTGGTATCTTGTTGAATCCATGCCAGTGTGTACTAAAGCCAAGTGTATGCTTTAAGCATAGTTTGAAAAATCACCCCGAAAGAATATAGTGGCAGATGTTTCCAAGAGAGACCATTACTTACCAAAAAAAAAAAAAAAAACTTTTAAATGTGAGTGTATGTAGAATTCTGCTTACCTGAGGGTAGTTTCTCTAGGTTAAAGCTTCCCCCAAAACTAAGAGGTCATCTTTTATGATGGTGTCCAGAGTCATTTATAGGGAAAATGGGACTATAAAAGAAGGCAGCCATGTGTGATGCTACATGCATTTATGCCCACGACAACCCTGTGAGGTAGCTGCTGTTGTGATCCCCATTTTAACAGATGAGGTTAAACAGTTCATTTGCAGAGCCCGTATGTGGTAGAGCCAGCTCTCAATCCGTATAAGTTCTTGATCCACACCGATCTTCCCAGCCAAGTGCATGTTTCCTAATTTGCTCTCCCCTTGGCATTTCCCTGACTGCCTTACACCTCAGGCAGTAGTGCCATCATAGGTTCCTCCTTTTCATGTGGAGCTCATGCTTCTATACGTAACAAGTAAAGCTCAAACAAGTATTGACATAATTTCTTTTTAATTCACATTTCAAGTTTTCTGACTTGAACAGTTTCTAAAGTACTCTAGATGAGGAAAAACCTCACTTTAGTGAAAGATCAGGTTATATACAAAAATAATTTCTTTTTCTGCCTGTTCTTGGGGTTATTCTTTGGAGGGCCAGTATTGTTAAAAGCCTGCTTAGAGTGACATACGTGCTTGTGGCATTGAGAAACATGATTTCTAGAACCTTCTAAGATGAGCCCTAGAGTAGTCAGCCCTCCTGACCCTCCTGTTGCCCTGGAATACTCCCTGTAAGCCCTGTCCCTTCTTGGGCCATCTTGGAACTTGTTATTTATTCAGTTTTTAAACTTTTGAAAACCTTAACATTTCAGATGGAAGAGTAACCACAGTAGACATTAAATGCAAGCATGAAAAATAAAGCTTCATAAACCAGATAATTGGAATTGGTGTTTGTAAAGCCTCCATGAATATAATGTTCTCGCTTCATGAACTGGTGTTTTCTTTTTATATGCTTCATGTAGATGAATGGACAGAGGTGGACAGAAAACGAGGTATGCTATCTCTGGGCTGCATGTGTTCAGTCTGCATCCACAGGTTCACCCAGTCCATTACCAACGGGGCTTAACGTGGGACCACTCTAAATATTTCTTTGTAAGAAAACAGGCTTGAATTTCTCTGTAGCTGAGCTATCTGGGGCCGTGTCTGAAGCTTTGACTTAAAAGAAATTTAACATTTGACACTGATGTTTGATGTTTAACACTTTGACATTGTAGCCGATGAAAACTAAGCAAACTGGTGAAAAGGCCACACTGCTCCTAGGGGACCTTTTTGTCTTTTTGGTTCCAAGTTTGCAGGGACAGCTCCATTCCTGGGTAGAAGGACCTAGTTGGTAGTTTTCAGACATCTGTTACAGTACCATAGAAGGCTGCTTATGAGTGACTCCCCCAAAACCATTCTCCTTAACCTAAGAGCAAGCGACAGTACTGTTGAGCAAGCGACAGTACTGGAAGCATGTGACTGCATGGCTGCCAGCACTGTGGGCAGAAGGTATGATTTCATGCATGCAGTATGGCTTTCTCTTGCTAAATCTTCAGTTTCCCCTTTACCTACAACTAGCAGCAACCCTGGAAATGTTGCCAGCTGCTCAGAATAAAACCTCAGTTTTTCTTGACCTTTATATACCACAGGTACTTTCTACCCTTTGATGTTTGAGTATGATTTCTCTCTGTCATCAGCCATCCTCCTCAATATTTTAAATGCTCTTTTCATACCAAGTTTGTTAGGGAGATAGCATGTAATTTGTAAGCGTATGAGCATTAGAACTCCACCACCAGTTGTGTGACCTTGGATTTTAAATTCTCTAAGACTCAATTTTCCTCCCCGATAGAAAAAGGTTAATAATTCAGAGTTGTGGAGTTTAAATTTGATAATGCATGTAAAGTTCTACCCCAGTGCCTGGAACTGGTAAGGGTAAGTGTCCAGTAGGGTTTCCTAACTTCTCTCTTTGGCTCCAAATTGCATATTCTCATAAACAAGAGAATCGAGAACAGAAGTGCTTGATAAAAATTCAGTTGCTTTCATCAAGGTAATTATTTCATCAGACAGAGCTCAAAGAGAAGCCCAAATGAAATCCTGCCTGGTACCTTTTTATCATATTTCACAACCATCTTTTGACACTTCTCTTGAGCAATTTGATCCAACCCATGATGCATGGCAGAATTTGAAGCGTCAAGTGTAGATTTAGAGAGCTTTCCATATGCATAACTGAGTCACTGGAATATATTTCAATTTAAATGTTCAAAGCTAATGAGCAGAAATTGATTGTATCACCTGAGCCCAAGGCCTGATACACTGAGAGTGTGGTTCCCGACCATTCTGATAAACTACAGAAAAATCCCTTCCTTTTTGGCCCTGACCCCTTGCTGATGAAGTCTGCCTCCAGGGAACTCATTACCATCACTCACTCTTGAAATGTACACAAAGCTCACCTGAGTGCCAAAGCACGGCAAACACAGTCTGGTTAGAAGTACCGCTCAGGTGTAAATGTGCACAGGCCGCCTCCCTAGGTAAGGATGACGTTTCCTCCCTTTGTGTCCACATAGTGTTTTCTTCAGAGTCTGGTCCTCAGTCGCCCTGCCTCAGCCAAGTGCTAGGTGACACACACTGTGAGAACAAAACTGTGTGCCCTACCTGCTTTCCAAAGAGTGAAATGTGAAGCAACCCCAGGGTCCCATCCTCCTTAGGGGCACTATACATGTGCTGCTGTCCCCTCTGCCTGGCTTGTGAACCTTTTCCAGGTTTCATGCAAGTACCCATGGGTGACACAGAGCTTCGTAACTTCCCATAGGCGGCTTCCTCTTGCTTTTTACTTTGGGGAAGTAGCTAACAGCACCTCAAGGGTTTCTTTCTTTTGAGACTGGTAGTTAGGGCTAAGCAAATTTTTTTTTTTTTATGTCTTTTTTGAGATGGGGTCTCGCTATGCAGTTCAGGCTGGCCTTGAGCTCACTTTGTAGCCCAGGCTGGTCTCGAACTCGCAACGATCCTCCCACCATAGCCTCCTGGGTGCTGGGATTACAGGCATAAACCACCATGCCCAGCTGGGCTAAGCAATTTTTCTAGATCCTGATATTGGCTCAGACACCCTGGAGAAATGATGAGCTCTTTGGAAGCATTAATCCAGTTGTGGACATGGGATGTCTTCCCTCGAATTTTTCCTCTTTGGCAGACTCTCTGGCCTTTAGAAGTCTAAAAAAATTCCTCACATTCTCTCTTCTGAGCACATATGTGTGACTTTTAAGTTCTACCTGTTTCCGTGCATATTCTGCATTTTATGTGATAAGAAAAAACAGAAAACCCAGTTTATTACAGGTCCTCACTTGTTTCAGTTAAAGGAAAAGTGTCAGGCCTGAGGCAAACCTGGCGGGCCACTGTGACCTGTGGACCAGGCTGTCCACGCTGAGGGTGTTGGTCCACAGGAAGGGTAGGCTGCAATGGGTGGAAACTGTCCGCTGCAAGGGATGCCTATGCTGGTCATAGGTTCAGTATTTCCTATCTGAATAATGGAATCAAGTGTGAGCTCAACACTTGCTTAAGGAGTCCCAGTCAGCCTGTGTCCACAGGGCAGTGGATGGGTGGGGATGCCTCCTCTCCCTGAAGCCATTGCATTTAGGTTCAACCAGCCCCGAGCTTCCCGTCTCCCATAAGGACCTCCAGATGTTTTCAGTAGCTAGCCTGAGGCCTCCAGTCCTTCTGTGTTTCTCACAGCTAGGTAGAGCCTGAAGCCACCAATCACCTGACATGTCCTTTGGTTTGGCAAAAGGAGGAGGAATTTCTATGCTTCAGTAATAATCACTCATATTTAATAGTTGATTTTATGTAATTATTTTAAGTAACCTAGTTTTCTTTCAAATTGTAATTACTCTAAATATACACTCTTGACATTAACATACTGTCACCTTTGGGCCAGAATAACTGGCTTAATTAAGAATAATCTATGTCAGCCATCCCTGTTCCTAGTTCTCATACCAGAACATTTCCTGGCCCTTAACCAGTGATATTTAATTCAGAAGTGCTAAGTATCTAAATGAATGGAGACTTAAGATTATAGACACTTTGGTTTGCACACTCCTCAAATTCTCACCAGATGGAAATTTTCATGTGAAAAAATATAAAATATAGTAGTATTATGGTGTAAAATCAGTATTACAGACCAAATGTAGAAACGAAGGCACCCTAAAATGACACTATACAAAATATATGTCTGGGGGCTGGGGATTTAGCTCAGTGGCATAAGCACCTGCCTTGCAAGTATGTGGTCATGAGTTCGATCCCCGGTACCGATAAAAAAGACAAAAAAAAAAAAAAATACATGTCTGTAGAGGCTAAAAATGTTATTATCTCTAGCCAGTGGATAGCCATATCTCTTCATGAAAATGTTTTCAAAAAAAAGCCAAGTAGCATTGGTTGTCTCAGTTTTATGGAATTTAATTTTACGTCTTTGTTTTGAGACAGGGTTTCACTATGTAGCTCAGGCTGGCCTCAAACTCACAGCAATCCTACTGCCTCAGCGTCTTGAGTGCTGGGGCATCACATGCCCTACCCATGAAATTTAATTTTAAACAAAAGATGTATAGACTTCTTTACAAAAAAAAATTGTGTTCTCTCTCTCTCTCTCTCTCTCTCTCTCTCTCTCTCTCTCTCTCTCTTTCTCTCTCTTTGTGTGTATGTCTCTTTGAGACAGGATCTCCCTATGCAGTTCAGGCTGGCCTTGAGCTCACTTTATAGCTCAGTCTTGTCTTGAACTAACAGCAATCCTCCTGCCTCAGCCTCCTGAGTGCTAGGATTACAGGCATGCACAGCAACACCCAGCTATGCCCTTTCTCATTTTAATAGGCTTAAATTAAAATACTTATAGGAATCTCTTTTAAGGAAAAAGAAATATTTCCCTCTTATCAAGTGAGATAACATGTGAAAGTGACTTGTCACCTCTGAAGCAAACCCATTTGCACATTGTTCACCATACATGTTAGCTGGAAAATGCCATCACAAACCATCCTGAAGGGCTGTTTCCTACTAAAACGCCTGGGTGACTTCTCCCCAGGAAGCCGATCTCACTAAGCACACAGCACCCAACTTGGCTCTGCCCTGCTCTTCCTCCTGTTTGTACCCTGAAAGCATTTCTGCATAACGCTCCATGCATACCTTCCTTGTTCAGCTGTGTTCTCTTTTGTCTCCACAGTTCTGAATGACATCATTTCAACCATGTTCAATAGAAAGTTCATGGAGGAACTGTTCAAACCCCAAGAGCTGTACTCTAAGAAGGCCCTGAGGACCATCTATGACCGCCTGGCTCATACTTCCATTATGAGACTGAACCAGGCCAGCATGGACAAGGTGAGCAGACAGCCGCCCTGTCCACCTTCCTGCATCTCTTGTACTTTTCATGAATGATCGCGGACCGGGGTCATGAGACGTCACACAGTGGTGCCTTGCAGGAAATAACTACTTGGAAATTTCAGCAGCGGTTGTGGAGTTGGGAGGACCTCAGAAGTCACCCACCCACACCATTACCTCTGTTGTTTATGTCATTCCACCTACCCAAAGAGAACACCTGCCTACCCCAAAATACTCAAACCTCAAAACTTTAATTCTGTCTCATTCATAACAAATCTCATCTCTGTGATGAGGAAACCAAGCGTTTTTAAAATGCAAGTGAAAAAGCATTCACTGTTTATGATGTGAACATGTCTGCTTCTTTGGGAAGCAAATCACTGAGGCTCTCTGATTGCTAAAATTCTGATTCCAAGCCAGATGTGGTGGTACATGCCTGTTACCCCAGCACATGGGAGACTAAGCAGGAGGATTGCCACGAGCTCAAGGCAAGCCTGAACTATATAGTGAGATTCTGTCTCAAGGAAAAAAAAATAGTAATTCTGTATAAACAAATGGCAAGTGTATAGGCTTTACCACGGTGACAAATACCCAACATAAAAAGCTTAAAGGATAAAAGATTTTTTTTAGTGGCCTCAGTCCATGTTCGACTTGCTCCACTGCTTTAGGTGAGGCAAAAATATCATCACAGACGAGCAAGACAGAGGAAAGCTTCATGGCAACCAGAAAGCTGAGGGAGAGGGGGAAAAAACAGAGAGTGGCCAAGGGTATCCCTTCAAAAGCCTGCCACATGGAGAACCTACTTCCTCCAGCTAGCCGCTCAGCTTTGAGCTCCTTAGTGGGTTAAACTACCGATGAAGTCAATACCCACACAGTCCAGTGGCCTCTCAGGGCTCCCACCTCTAAACACATACAGTAGGGATCAGGCCCTCATATTTGAGTTGTTGAGAGATACCTCGTATTTTTTGATACTTCATATTTAAATCATAGCATCAAGGATAGACAAATCCGCCCAAAAGAATTTCCAAATAATTTATGGACATTTTCTTTTCAGAGAGAGGAGCAGATAAATCCTACTTATTAAGTATGGGGGTGCCTTAGAACCTTTGAAAAAGTATGGTACCGGAAGAGGGAAGAAAACTGTTAGCTTTATAGCAGGGAAACCTGACAACCAGGTGGTCAAGGGTCACAGCAACAATGGCATGATGTGATGACAATGGCACTTCACCTGTGTGGTCATCCTCCCCACCAAAACCCACAATCCATCTAACCGTGAGAAAAACATCAGATGTCATTGGCCAATGAATGTCATCACTATGTTCTACAAACATACTAGTGAAAATTATAATTTTTTTACAATGTCATCTTCATGCCAGGCGTGGTGACTCACACCTGTAAACCCAACTCTTCGGAGGCTCAGGCAGGAGATTCACTGCAAGTTCGAGGCCAGCCTGAGCTGCACAGTTCGGAAACCCTGTCTCAAAAAAAGACCAAAAAAAAAGTGCTATGGTACAGAATACTACAGAATACCTGACCGGTACTCAAAATTGTCCAAGTCACCAAAAACAAGAACGTCAGAAAAATTGTCACAGCCAACAGCAGCCCAGGAAGATGTGAATAAATATAATGTGTTTCCTGGATAGGCTGCTAGAACAGAAATAAGATATTAGGGGAAACTAAAGACATCTTAGTCAAGTATGTAGTTTAATTTAGTTAATTTAACATTTATTTTCAGTTTTCTCCACTATGTAATTTTTTTTTAAATCATCAGGACCCACCTTAGATAGTGGATGACACTTGTTCATTACTGGTTTCTAGAAGCCTCAGAGAGACAAACTATCTTTAACTATTCCCTCTTACCTCCTGCCACTTTGCTCTGGAAAGTTACTTTCCTTCCCCAGAGCCTCCGTTTTCTCACTGTAACCCTGGGGTAGCTTCTTCCTCTTCCTCTACCTGTCCACGAGGTGGCAGCCATCTTCAGCCAGGCCTCCTGGCTGCTTCACACCATTTTTGAAGCCCCAGATTGTCAAAAAGAGAACCAAGAGGGCTGAGGGTTTAGCTCAGTGGCATAAGTGCCTGCTTTGCAAGCACGTCGTGATAGTCCCTTCTACTCAGGAAGCTTAGACCAGAGAATCACAAGTTCCAGGCCAGGGCTGGGAATTTAGCTCAGCGGCATAAGCGTCTGCCTTGCAAGCAGGCAGTCGTGAGTTCGATCACTGGTACCGATAAAAAGGAAAAAGACAAAAAAAAAAAAAGAGAAAAAAAATCTTAAAACAAGTTCCAGGCCAGCCTGGACAGCCCATCGCCAATGACAGCACTTGTACAAGGGGCTGCAGTTTTTGCTAAAAATAGTGTAGCTGCTGAAAACAGACTGGGTACTAGAAAGTCATGCCCTGATCCCATCTCAGATCAAAAGGGCACATGGCTGTAATCCCAGCACTCAGGAGCCTGAGGTAGAAGAATCCCTTTGAGTTTGAGGCCAGCCTGAACTACATAGCAAAACCCTGTGTAGAGAAAGAGAAAGAAAGACAGAAAGCCAGCAAGCAGGCAAGCTGAGGATTTAGCTTAGTAGTAGAATACCCCTGGGTTCCATTGCCAGTACTACTAAGAAAAAAATTTTTAAAGGAACAAGAAGCCAGGCGTGGTGGCACACACCTGTAATCCCAGTACTCGCCAGCCGAGGCAGGAAGATCGCTTCAAGTTCAAGACAACCTGGTCTACAAAGTGAGCTCAAAGCCAGCCTGAACTGCATACTGAGGCTCTTAGTCAAAAAGACTAAGCAAATAAATAGAACAAGAAATTCACACACACACACACATACACACACCCCAGAAAAAATTCAGTCAGCTCAGTGGGTCAAAATTATACCTAACTCAGAGGCATTGACAACCGGATGTAGAGAAGATCAAAGATCCAGACCTTTTTCTTCTTTTTCTTTTTCTTCTTTTTTTTCTTTCTTTTTTATTAGTGCAGGTGATTGAACCCAAAGCCTTGTAAGGTGATTGAACCCAAAGCCTTGTACATACTAGGCAAAAGCTTTACCACTGAGCTACACTTCAGCCCAAAATTGATGTCCAGTCTTCAGTCCATAGTTGGACATGCCTGTGTTAGAAAGGAAAAACTTTTTTTTTAAGGGAAGACTCACTGAGCACAGTGGTACACATCTTTACTCCCAGCAGTCTAGGGGGCTGAGACAGGAAGGTGGCAAGTTCAAGCCTGTCCTTAGAAATTTAGTGACTTAGCAAGACCATATCTCAAAATAGAATAATGAAAAAAGGGGCTGGGGATGTAGCTCAGTGCAGAGGCCTCAGGACCACCAAAGGGGGGCGGGGAATGTTACTTGTTGTAATTTAACTATCTTACATAATTTATATAGTTTGTGTGCCCAAGATAATTTCTCTTCATTCAGTGGCCCTGGCAAGCCAGACAGGTCCCACCTTGGACATGTCTGATGATGAACATTGGTTATGTCAACAAGAAAACAGTGCCAGAAGCACCCAGCCACAGTGCCCATGGAGCCAGACACACTGCTGATGTCCAAGAGCCCTGCCGGTGCTGAGACAGCTCAGGGTTTACCCCGGGAAATGCAAGGCCACTGTGGGACGGGCAGCCCGGTAGCCATTAGCGGCACCACTTCCTGTGCCCGGCTGTGCAGCAAAGAAAATAAATAGATGGCTCCTTGTGCACATTTTCTTCATGTTTAAATAAAACCAGAAGATGCACTTCTGAGCATAGTAACAGCTACCTCGTCAGTTGTTGGGAGGATTGGGGAACATACCTCAGCCTGGCACTTAGTTCAGTAAATGCTTATTATCTTCTCCGGTCACTCTTCTCACTCCGCCTTTCCTGGTCCTGGATTTTTGGGGTTGTTTTTATTTTGTTTTGTTTCATTTTTTGAGACAGGGTCTCACTGTATAGCCCAACCTGGCCTTGAACTCCTGCCTTAGCCTCCCAAGAGCTAGGGTTGCAGGTATGTGCCACCACACATGGCTTCTCTCTCTGCCTTTCCATAGAAAAAGGATGCACAATTTAGAATAAAAAGACCCTGAGTTCTAGTCTTACTTTTACCAGTTACTAGTTGTAAGTTTACTGAGTATCTCTGAACTGTCTACCTCGTAGGTGCACTTCAGTCATGGTTTATATTTTCACTTCTGCCCCAGACACCTCCATACCAGACTGCTTGCTTTAGTTCCCTTCTCATCACTGAGACAGCACCCAGCACCTGCAAATTAAAAGAGAAGAGGTTTCCTTCAGCTCATGATGTGTAAAGCTTTGGGTTTGTAGTCGGCTGGCTCCAAGGCAGAGAATTGTTCCTGGCAAGGCAGCAGAGAGATGCAAGAGAGGAGGGAAGCAGAGAGACCCTTCCAGCCAACGCCCCCATGACCACCTCCTCTGACCAGGCTGCCCATTCCAACATCCAACATGTAATTTAGCTGTAAATTCTTCTGTGGACTAATCCGCTGATGTAATCCAGTCCCCATTTGTTTTTGTTTGTTTGTTTGTTTGTTTGTCTTTTTCCTTTTTGTCAGTACCAGGGATCAAACTCACGACTGCCTGCTTGCAAGGCAGGCACTTATGCCGCTGAGCTAAATCTCCAGCCCCCCAGCCCCCATTTGAAAACCCAACCTCGGAGCATGTGAGACTTTGGGGGACATCTGCATGTGAGCCCTAATACTGCTTATCTTCTCTCCTGCCCCCCCATTCACCTAGACTCCTCTCCTCCCTCAGTAGCATCCTCCTCCTCCCAGGCACCAGCCGGAAATGCTGTAGTCCTTTTGCACCATCCTCATTAGTGTCCCCCTGGCCTCGCCAGAGAGTCACCACCTAGTGACAGCTTTCCTTCCAGATAGCACACGATCTTCCTTTCCCTCCCTTTCCTAGGTCTTAAAATGGATACCCCAGGGCGGTTTGGTGGCACTATGCTATCATCCCAGCACTCAGGAGGCTGAGGCAAGAGAAGCACTGCAAGCTTGACGCTAGTCTGAGCTGCGTAGTGAGTTCAAGGCCAGCCTGAACTATGTAGCAGACCCTGTCTCCAACAACAAAAAAATATGAATACCATAACAGCATTTCTTTGATTTATATCAGTGATGGCAAACCTTTTAGAGACCAAGTGCCTAAACTGCAGCCCAAAACCCACTTATTTTCACAGAGTGCCAACACTGCAATTAAACCTGAATATGAGGTTTAGTTTGGTAAAAACAACTGTCACCTGATGCTTGGCTGCTGGGTGACTTGGTTGCATGCCAACTGCAGAATGTGTGCTATAGGTTCGCCACCACTGATTTATGTAATCAGTAGATACTTGTTTATTCATACCTAGGAATCAGCTACAGCTAATCCCTCTAATGTTCTCTGTGGCCCACACCAAGGGCTCTTCTGCTTGCTATCAGAAGAATTAGGCAGAGGCGTATGGCACAGGAATGAGGCTGTTCTCATTCTTGGGCAAAAGGAAGGCAGCACTTAGGGCACAGAGATGCCAGGACGGCTCAAACAAAGGACAGAGGTGCACAGATTTTACAGTATGCACGGGATACAGGGACCCAGTCTCGACGTCACTGCATGTAGAGGTAGCATCTTCTTAGTTCCTGTGCTCTTTGTCATGCCTCTTCATGTGACCCACGTCTCAGTTCCATCCTAAGTCCCCAAACGTACTAAGAGGTCCCTTTAGTGAACATTTCACGCGTGCGTTTTTTCCTTGCCATCTGGGGTTTGCCCCTTTACCATCTGGGAGAGTTCCTGGTATTATTTTTAGAACAGGGCAGACCATGGTGCTGTCTCGCTTTTGAATGTGATTTTACTGCCTTGTTTTTCCTGGCTCTGGCTTTTGGTGTTTCTGCTGACCACAGCGTTATGAAGGCTGAGCTGACTTCCTGCTCTGTCCTCGCCAGGTATGTTCTCTTAATTCCGTAGTCTCCAAGACCGGTCCACTTTTTAACTCCCCGTTCTCTGGCACTTCTGTTGACCCCACAGACTGAGGGCTGGCTAAGCTGTGTCGCCCCGCTTCCCTCACGTTTCATCATGGACTAACCTCACATAAATACCACTTTTGTCACATCCGCTCAGGAAGCCTCAGTGTTCCCCTAAGTCTTACCACATTTAGTGTAAATTATTCGCCCTCTTTCCAGAACCTTTACTATCTTTGTCTTGCCGTGTATCCTGAACCTTATTTCTTTTTTTTTTTTTAATTTTTATTTTGAAGGTAGTAAAGTACAACAGAACAAGACAGAATAAAGCCAATTGACACCGTGTAGTGAAATTGGTACAGAACTTCACAGCAGGTTACTGGGATAACAGTAATAGGTATCACAGTATATCTCGTTATCTTCACAATAGTTGTTCTTTCAATCACATACATCGAAATAAAATGAAATACAGAACATTATAGAATTTATCAGAATAGAATATTGAATAGAACAGTATCATTAATCAGAATAAAGTAAAACAGTAATAAAAATATTTGCCTTCAAAGAGATGGTAGAAAGAAATCCCCTTCTTTGCTATGGTCAACCTCCCAAGAGATGCTCAGATCTCTGGTTCCCATTTGCTAACGGGGGGCAGGAGAAAGGGGGTAGGGGAAGTGGGATGATTCACTCTCAGCCCATGCACCAGTACGCTCACTATTGCTTAGCAGGGAGGCAGGCTGGTTGCTTGGTTTCCCAGGGTCCTAAGTTCCAACATGGCACAGATCTCCCCCTGGAGGGGCCACAGCCCTGAACCTTATTTCTCAGCAGCCCCAACATGAACTGTTCTCAGGCTCTTTGCCTCTTTCTCCAACCCACCCCTTACCAGGGCCTCACACAGGTTATGTCCTTCAACTAGAGTTCCCGTCCCCTTCCCTCAGCCAGCCTGGACCTAGCAAGTGCTTTGAGATCTATGTCAGGCCTGCTTCTGCCACAAAGCCTATTCTTTTTATTGTTGTTATTGTTTGTTCATTGAGACAGGGTCTCACTATGTAGCTCAGGCTATATTTAATTCACTGTGGAGCCCAGGATAAGGCCTCAAACTCATGATGATCCTCCTGCCTCAGCCTTTTGAGTATTGGAATGACAGATGTGTGCCACCACACCCAGCTTCCACAAAGCCATTTCTCTGGCACTTCTGTTGACCCCACAGACTGAGGGCTGAGGCCAGTGGGGATTGAACTCAGAGTTTTGTGCATGTGAGGCAATAACTCTACCACTACATCACATCCCCATCCCACACAAAGCATTTTTTTTGACCACCTTGGTCATTACCAGTCTCTCCCCTCTGGTCCTTCATAGATGTTTCCTACCACCTCTGGTGCTTATTGCTGTCTTAGTAATGTTGCCCATCACTAAAAATGTTCTTCTACAGTAGGAAAACTTTCTAGGCAGGCCTGTTGGAGCAGGCCTGTGATCCTAGCACTTGGGAGGCTGAGGCAGGAGTATCTCTGCAAGTGCAAGACCAACCTGGGCTCCAAAATGAGTTCAAACCCAGCGTGAACTACACAGTGAGACCCTAGCTCCAAAAAAAGTACAATAGTAGGACTTTGTGTATGCTACTTGGATACATGACTGTCTCACTCACTCCTCCCAGCAGTCCTGCCATGTTGGAGAAAACTCAGGCTCAGAGGAGTTCAGAAACTTGGCCAGGGCTGGGCATGGACTCAGTGTGGCAGCACGTGCATGGCATGGGCAGGGCTCTGTTTGATCCCCAGCAGAGGAATGGAGGGAGGGAGGAAGGGAGTCTTTGCCAGAGTCCTATAAAAGATCAGCAGCAAAGGTTCAGGTTTTCTTCCCTCCAGTCAGTGCCCAGGCCCCACGAATGCTGGCCCTGTTTCCTGGGTGTCCCATCTGCACTACACGTAAGCTGACCAGAGACCCTGGTTTGCCTCAGGCGTGTCCCAGGCTCCTCCTGCTGTCTTGGCTTAACTATATGCATTGCCCCCTTGTGTTCTCAGAAGTGCCCTGCTTGGGTGAGAACAGATATGGCGCCCTATGCCACAGGGTCAGCCCAGGGGCAGTTTTCAATAATTGCTGGACTCAGTCACTGCTGGAGATTTTGACATCTGCTTTTATGGTCCTTTTTGCTTTGTTTGTGTGTGGGTTGACAGCTCTATGACCTGATGACTATGGCTTTCAAATATCAAGTTTTACTGTGTCCCCGACCCAAGGATGTACTACTGGTCACTTTCAATCACTTAGATGCCATCAAGGGATTCATTCGAGACTCCCCAACCATCCTTCACCAAGTGGACGAGACTTTCCGGCAGCTGATAGAAGTAAGCATCATCAGTTTATCTCTCTCTAGCCCCATACTTGCTTTCATTCCTCTGTAAGAGCAGGCAGATTCTGTGGCAGCAAGGACAGGAGAGGAATGGCAAAGCCGCCCCCCTCCCAAAACATCCCCCAAATCCACCAGTCTCTATTTTGTTAATACAATCAGCATTGTTACCCAGTGGCCTCTGCTGTCACCTAAGTAAATGGAAAAGCAGTGAAACAGAGCAGAGCCATTTTCTCCTGACTTTTCTGGAAGGGAGTGGGTGGCAGACATCTGCTGAACCCTAGAGAAAGCCTCTCCAGGCCTGCAGAGGGTAGAGACACATGGTATCCCCTGCTCAGCTGTGCCCTTCTAGACTTTGTCCAGCTGCAATGAGAGGGTGCCCACACCCCTTGGCCCTGGTTTATCAGGCCCCTGTCCCAGAGCTCCCCACCACTACTCGTTCTCACTATTCATCTCTCCAGGAAGGTGACAGGCGTCTTTCTGTTTTGACTTACAGGTGTACGGGGCTCTCTCTGCAGGTGAGTTCCAGCTGATCCGGCAGACGCTCCTCATCTTCTTTCAAGACCTACACATCCGAGTGAGTGAGTGGGAACTTCTTTCTCTGCTGACCCAGGGAATGAAGTCGCCAGGGCAGACAGGAACCAAGATCTTGCCACATTAGTGACCCCAAATGAATCCTTGAGGATACATTTGTTTTGTTTGTTTCTTGCAGTGTTGAGGATTGGATGCAGAGCCTTCATACTGAGCTATATCCCCAGGCTTTATTTTGTGATTTTGAGGCAGGGTCTGGCTAAGTCCCTACGTTTCCCAGGCTCTGCTCAAACTTGTGATCCTCCTGCCGAGCCTCTAGGATTAGCCAGTGACCTGCCGCACCACACCAGCTTGCATGTCGATACGTGTGCTGATGCAGTACATCTTGGCTATTTTTTAATGGACTGAGGAAGACCATAATGCCACCATTCTTTCCAAGTCACATTATAAGTTCATTTGAAATAGTTTCATCTCTTCCTTCTGCAGAAAAAGTGTGCTCTAGAGGCACCAACCTGATCCCACTTCCGAAACGTTTCTCAAGCCTTCTCATCCTTGTTCCGCGTCAGGCTGCCCTGCACTCCATGCCACTAACATTCTCAGGACTTGCACACTGCATCCCTTCTTGCCTTCCCACCCTCTCCCAGTCTCCAGACCTTCCTCCTCTTACCTCTCCCCACCCTCTGCTTTTCTGGATGACTTTCTCCTCACTTTGACTGCCAGCTCCTTTACCTGGGATACCTGAGTCTTAGCTCCACCCTGCCCTTGCCCACCCTATCCCCAGGCCACAGTTCTGCTGCCGACTGGAGCTCTCCACAGTCACCCAAGGGCTCTCACTTCAGTGTTGATCTTTTAACTTATGGCAGTTCCAGTGCTGCCCCAGCTTTCTGACTTCTTTGGAGGACACTGCCATTCTTTCCCTTATTCGGTTCAGAACCAGAGTATCCCCTGTACTTCCCCTCCCTTGGGCTTCCAAGTCTCATTGCTGAGCCTCTGAACTAAAAGTCTGTCTCTCTTGGACAGGACTTTGCTCCTTGCCACAGTTTTTAGCAAACTGAGGAGGAAAAGATGACGTGCATGTTAGTGGGCTTTCCATCGCTGAGAATAAGGACTTAAAGGCAGAGAGGTTTATCTCCCAGTTCCAGTCCGTGTTCCACTCGTTCCATTGCTTTGGGCCTGAGATGAGGCAGAGCAGCATGGCAGACGGGCTTGTGAATCAAAGCCATTCACCTTGTGGCAGCCAGGAAGCAGGGAGGGGGGAAAGGCAGAGAGGAAGGGGCCCAGGACGAATTTACCCTTCACCACAGCTCCCCGTGACCACTTCATCCGTCAGGCTCCGCTTCCTAATAAGCCAGTCCAGCTGAGGAACTCGTCACTAGCATAATCCCCCACTTGATGGAGTCAGAGCCCCCACAATCCCACTGCTTCCCAAAAGCCCAGCCACTGGCATTCAGTGCATGGAGCTTTTGGGTGGACATTTTGGGTTTCGACCATCACATTATGGTATAGCAGTAGAAGCCCAGGCTCTGTAGTTAGACATTCTGTGTTTGAATCCCAATTCCAGAACTAGCTCCATGATCTTGAGGATATTACTTCTCTTGAGCCTCAGTTTCTTCACCTGATAAATGGACATTTATTTTCAGTCCTGATTTAGTTTCTCAGGAGGACTGACTGAAGCATCAGAAGTGAGGTTCTGTACATACATGTATTTTCTCGTGTACATAGGGTATAGCATGCTTCTAGAAAGTTATGCAAGAAACTGGCCACATTGGCTGCCTCTGGGGAGTGGTGACCCTACATAGGACAGGAGTCAGCAGAGAGGCTTACTTTCCTTTTTATATACTCTTCTGGACCTTTTGAACTTCAAGCCTGTCCATGTGTTACATGTGAAATAAAATTCAGATAAGAAATAGAGCATATTTGTGCCTGTCCAGATTTCCCTCCCATGGACCATGGAACACAAATAGATTTCAACTCTAATGCCAGGTGTGTTAATTTTTCTGTATTTTCTATGGATGGAGTAATAACAACATCAATATAAATTCAGATCTCTAAAGCTAGGCATGGTGGCACACACCTGTAATCTCAGCACTCAGGAGACTGAGGCAAGAGAATTGCCATGACTTTGAGGCCAGCCTGAACTACATAGACCCCAACACCCTCCCCAAAAAATATCTGTAACCGTCACAGATTAAAACAAAAATATGAAAGTATAATAATGTTTTGCATCAGATTTTAGAATATTGAAAATTCTGCATAATACTGTTATTGAAACCATGCGTATTTAGACACAGTTTACGGGTTGTAGTAATACAAATAGCCATATTGGTTTTTCAATTCTGACAAAATAAGTTTAATTATAGTGAAAAGACTTGCCTAATAATAATTCTATAGCAAAATCATTAAAATGTATTAAGCCCCAATATATATTAAACTTTAATTGCTAAACATGTGGCAGTGAAACTCTGGAATGCTTATCAAGAGAAATAGGATTCATGTACCAATAATAGTCTGCCACTGATGTGGAACTTCTGGGCTGCTTTGCATGGCTCCTTGGTAATGGTATTTCTGCTTAGCTGCAGTTCATGATTGCCTGTGCAGATTTTCTGTTTCCAAGAGTCTTGACAGTTTCTATTTGTTAGCACAACTAACTAAATCAAGAAAACACAGCTCTGCTCGACTCCTTGCATGTTGTTGAACCAAAGCAAATACAAACAAAACTGCTCGACTGATGTCTCAGCTCTCTGTGATAACACTAAACAGTGCAAGAGATGCTCATCATGGCCAAAGCCCTGACCCACGCACAGGCCGGACCGAGGCTGTGCCAAGGCAGAGTCCATCCCAGCGCCGACTCCTTGGCCTCCTCACAAGCCAGGCTCCTGGTGCCCCTCTCTGATCCCCACCCATACACCCCTCCACCAGATTCCCCACTCCTCACTGTTTGACCTGCCAGGAGACATCATTCCTGTTTTGAGTCTTCTTAGAATATTCCAGGCACCTCTGCTTCATTATCTGCTCTACTTGGAAATAATTCATCCCTGGAAATGTTAGCCTAGCAAATCCTTCCTTCCTTCCTAGTGTATGACAGGTACTGTGTTTGAAATACATGAATAGCCAAAAGCAAGTCCATGCCTAGCAGAAGGAGAATGAGAAGACAATTGTGTCATACTCCTGTGGTGGTAACGTTGAGGGACAGGAGAGTGGCAGGCAAAGCAGTGAAGAGCAAGTGGGTCCCAGGAGGCTGAGGCAGAAAGAGCACCGCAAGTTCAAGGCCAGCCTGAACTGCATGGTGAGACCCTGCCTCAAAGCAAAAGCAAAGCTGCCCAACAGAGCTCACTGGGATGCGGGAAATGATCTTAGCTCGTGTGTTATTTTTGTTTGTTTTTAGTACCAGGGATCGAACTCATGACCTTGAGCTTGCCAGGCAGGTGCCCATGCCACTGAGCTAAATCCCCGGCCCCTAATGATCTTTATCTCTGCTGTCCAGTGTGAATGGCTCACCATGTGTGGCTACTAAGCACTTGGAACGTGTGACTAAGAAAAACAGAACTTTTAATTCTTCTTAAATAGCCACTCTTGATTAATAGCTGATGCTTTTGGATACCACATGTTTAAATGATGGAGCTTTTCTGAAGATATAACCAACAAAAATCTCAGGAAGAGTTTGTAAGCTGAGAGACCACAAGGTCAAAGCCCCTTAGATGGGATAAAGCATGATGGGTTCCTTGGGTAAAGAAAAAGCCTGCACAAATGGAGCATATCTCATAGATGGGGGTGATATTCAAAATAAATGTAAGAACTGTGTTGTCCAGACACTGACTAATTGGAACAGATGCCATCATGAGTGAACTGGTAGCTACCTATTGACTTAGCTTTGGGCCCAAGGAAAGTTTATTGTAACTGTAAACAAATATATTCTTTACGACCAAAGGTAACTGACTTACATTCTGGAAGGTAAAGACTACTGTATATGGGACAAGGTAGAGAAGGACAACAATTAGAAAACTATTATGTCAGCCAGATGTGGTGGCACATGCCTATATTCACAGCACTTGGGAAGCTGAGGCAAGAGGATCACCGTGAGTTCAATGCCAGCCTGGACTACGTAGTGAGACCCTGTCTCAAAAAAAAAAAAAAAAAAAAAAAATTCTATTTAAAAAACTAAGCAAGGTGTGGTCACATATGCTTGGGGTCCCACCTAGCACTCTGGGACCATGAAGCAGTAGGATCAGTGGCCAGCTGGATATGATCTAGCAGGCAACAGAGAGCCAGTGAAAGAACATAATCAGGCTGGGGATTTAGCTCAGCGGCATAAGCGCCTGCCTTGCAAGTGCGTGGTCATGAGTTCAATCCCTGGTACCGATAAAAAAAAAAAAAAAAAAACATAATCAATATGAGTCACAGTAGAGTGCAGGGTGGATTAAAAGCAGGTAAAAAGGAAGGCAAGGAGATCAGTTCCAGCAGGAGATAGTGCAACAGTAAGCAGAAAAACTGGAAGCATCACCCTGGATTTGGAGGCAGATTTATATCAGTAGGCACTGATCAGGTTCATTCCCAAAATATCAGACCTTGAAAAGTCAAGGAGAGAGGTTTTTACAGAATTGCAAAAAGAAGGTACATAGGTAGACTACTTGGCTGTCTTTGACTGGTTTTACAACATGCATCATAGTGACCAGCTATACATCACAGTGACCAGCTATTTATAAGAAACAGAAGTAACTGGAACTGTTACCTAGGCAACTAACAGACCAGCTGGAGGGGCAGCTGGAAGCAGCTGAGTAGAGAGAAAGGGTTAGTACAGGAGTCGCCGTATGGTTGACAGGGCCTGGCAATTGAATAAGACAGGAGATGAAAACAGAGGCTCTCCACTTGCAAACTTTGTGACCTGGTAGTGTCATTCACTGAAACTGAGAATTCCAGAGAGACAGCAGATTGGAGGAAACAGAGAGCAGCCTGTTTCTGAGAAGGGGAAATGCGAGGTGCATTCTGGGAACTTGAGGTGGCTGTGTCTAGAAGGTGATGGGATGAGTGGGCCAGGTACCCAGGGAAGGAGGCTAAGTGGGAACTAGAGATGTGGAAGCCTTCAGCACCGAGGTGAGCACTGAAGCAGATGAAATCACCTGGGAAAAGAAAGTGCAGAGGGAGAGAAAAAGAGCGTAGGAGAGTCACACCTACAATACTATCAGCAGTGGGCTCGGGGATCAGACAGACCCAGGGGCGCTGCCCAGTGGGGCTGAATCCTCATGTCAGCCGCACAGCCGCTTAGCTGCATATATACATTTCACATGCCACACCACACCAACCTTACTAGAATTGGCTAACAAAGGGTCCACAGTCTCAGTTTTCTTTTTCTTTTCTTTTTTTTTTTTTTTTTTTTTTTTTCTGTCTTTTTGAGACAAAGTCTCACTATGCAGTTCAGGCTGGCCTTGAGCTCACTTTGTAGCCCAGGCTAGTCTCATACTCACAGTGATCCTCCTGCCTCAACCTCCCAAGTGCTGGGATTACAGGTGTGAGCCACCGTGCCTGGCTAGCCTCACTTTTCTTCCAAACGTTCTTTCTCCATTTTGCTGAACTCACATTCCTTCATCACAGAATCTCAAAACTAAACTTCCTTAAAAGGTCATCCAAACCAAATCCCCTGATCAAACCAGTGTACACCACCCCACCCCACTGCAAGCAAAATATGACTCATGTCTGCTCCTCCGTGTGTGGGAAGTGTCTCCGTACCCGGCACCTTTACCCTTAGGTCAGCTCCAAACCCGCTGTCAGCCCACTACCCCGAGGCCCTACAGCCGTTCCCTCAGGAAGCTGATGTGCAAGTGCTGTTTCTCACATCCTGCCTTATGGCGACTTTTCCATGTTATGTGTTTGTTCCATATCCAAGTAGACTACAGTAAGAATATTGGCTGCCATTTATGAGCACCTAACCATGCACTGGCCTTTGCTTTATCCACCCCCTCCCTCCCAGTGCTGGGGATTGAACACAAGGCCCTGCACAGGCCAGGCAAGTATTCTGCCTGAGCCACACACCCTCAAATCCCAGGCTCCACTTCTTATATGAGATCGAATTTAATTGTCACTAATTCATCAAGTAGGCACTGCCATACCCCCAGTTTACCAAAGATAAAGTTGATGCACAGAAAGGTTATGTGACTTACAAAAAACATCCAAAGCCATGGCTGAGGTTGTAGCTCAGTAGTAGAGTGCATTTTTTTTTCAAATCCATTTTATTTCAAAGAGGGAAAAAAAAGAAAACAAAATTTCAAAACACATCAATCAGGGGCAACGATGGTACATACATTGTGCATGTTATCCCCAAATTAGTCACCCAGAGCACCAGACATCTGCATTCAATTGTCTGAACAATACCAGCACAAATCTTTCTCTTCAATGAACTCAGAAAAATCAGTAGTATAACTATACAATGTTTACATGTGTGTCTTTATTTATCTCATTTATGAGTATGGTTTCAAGTTACATCCATTTACATATAAAAGTCTCCAGTTTATCATTCTTTTTTTTTTGTCTTTTTCATTTTTATCGGTACCAGGGATCGAACTCACGACTGCCTGCTTGCAAGGCAGGCACTTATGCTGCTGAGCTAAATCCCCAGCCCCTAGTTTATCATTCTTTATGGCTGAGTAATACCCCATTGTATAAAAGTACCACATCTTTTTTATTCATTCCTTAGTCAGTGGACACTTTGATTGTTTCCAAGATCTGGCTATTAAAAATTGTGCTGCTATGAATATGAATGCACATATATCACTGTGGTATGATGTTTTTAATTTCTTTTGGGAAGATATCCAGAAGGAAATAGCTGGGTCGAATGGGACCTGTAGTCCTAGTGTTTTGAGGAATCTCCACACTGATTTCCACACAGTGGTTTCACCAGTCTATATTCCTACCAACAATGGAGAAGGGTTCTTTTTTCCCCACAGCCCCTCCAATTTTTGTTATTGGTTGATTTCTTGATACTAGCCATTCTTTCCCAGGTGAAATAGACTCCGTGTTGTTTTAATTTGCATCAGTAGAATGCATTTTTATCATACCTAAAGCCCTAAATTCAACCTCCGGAAAGAAAAATAAGCCTTGAGCCAACAAGGAGCCCAGCTGATATTGGAACCTAAACAGTCTAAAAGCAGTCTGCCAAATTGCCAGCTTACAAATCTTATCATTTTGTATTTTCACTGCCTCATACACAACAGATGCTTATTCTTGGTGATATTACTGATACAAACTAGTAGAATTACAGCATTGAAGGGACCTTCAAGTTTCTCTCTCATTTTGTACATGGGAAAGCTAAGACCCAGTAAACCTGGTTAACTGCTACGATCTCTACTTGGATTTAAACTGTGAATGGCCAGCCCCTCGATACAGAACACACAAGCCAGGAAGTAGAAATAAACATAATATGGAACGCTTCGCGAATTTGCATGCCATCCCTGCGCAGGGGCCATGCTAATCATCTCTGTACCGTTCCAATTTTAGCATATGTGCTGCCAAAGCAAGCACAATAAACATAATATGAAACTAGATGTGGTGGTGCATGCCTGTTGGGTAAACTACTCAGGAGGCTGAGGCAGGAGGATCAAAATTTTAAGACCAGCCTGAGCAACTTAATGAGACCCTGCCTCAAAAAAAGAAAGAAAGAAACAAAAGAAGAAAGGAAAAGAGTGAGAGAGGGGCATAACATGCTTTCAGGAAAGACCTTCAAACTACACTGCTAACAGGGGCCTCCTGCTTCAGCCCACAGTTCTCAGTAGGCTACCATGTGGTAAGAGCTCAGGATTCAGAAGCAGAAGCAGAGAAACTGAATCCCCAGCTCTGTCATTACGAGCTGGCACTCTTAACCCTGACTGGCTGACTGCCCATTTATAAGATGGCAGTGAGGTTCCTACAGCACAAGGCCGCGTGGAAAGAGAACCGGGAAATGAGATTGGGTATGGAAGTTGGAGTCTCTTTGGTGGTTGCTTGGTTTGTTGTCTTGTGGTACTGGGGATCAAACATGGGCGTGTACCACTGAGCTACATCCCAGCCCTTTTCTTTTTTCGTTTGAGACAGGGTCTCACTAAGTTGCCCAGTCTGGCCTCTAAATTTGGATCCCCCAGCCTCAGCTCCTGGAGAGCTGGGACTTCTGGTGTACACCACCATACCTGGCTCAGCCTTGCCCTTGAACCTCAGGCCTGCCTTCTTACTTTGGGCAAGAAACTTCACTCTGAATTTCATCTTCCTCAGCTTTAAAATGGAGGTATCAAAAGGGGAGGGCTGGGGATTTAGCTCAGTGGCATAAACACCTGCCTTGCAAGCACACGGTCGTAAGTTCGATCCCCAGTACCTATTTAAAAAAAAAAAGAGTAAAATGGAGGTATCTGTGCAGGGTGGCACATACCACCTGTAATCCCAGCACTGGGAGGCTGAGGTAGGAGAATCCCAAGTTCCAGCCCAGCCTGGGAAATTTAACAACCTAGTAAGATCCTGTCTCAAAAGGGCCTTAAGGACCCTCAAAAAGGGGCTGAAGAGATACCTCAGTGCTGGAGTGCCCCATGTTTGATCCCCAATATCAAAAAATATGAGTACTATGACCCACTTGGAAGGCTTACTATTGAACTCAAAAGTAGTCCTATTTGCAAAATCACTACAGTTCTTCATGCTACTTATGACGAGTTCTTCTCCCTTAGTGATTTAAACTCACTAGGCAACATTCCCAAATCATTATACAATTTTCATCCTCAGAATATCTGTGCCCAGCCAGGTGTGGTGATACTTGCCTATAATCCCAGCACTTGAGAGGCTGAGGCAGGAGGATTGCTAGGAATTCAAGGCCAACCTGGGCTACATAGTAAATTCAAGGCCAACCTGAACTGCACAGTGAGACCCTGTCTCAAAAAGAAAAGTCTACTGTCCACGGAAACATACCGAGAAAGTGACACTAAATATTTTTTTCCAGGTATCCATATTTCTAAAGGACAGAGTGCAGAATTCTAATGGTCGCTTTGTGTTGCCAGTGTCTGGGCCTGTTCCCTGGGGAACTGAAGTTCCTGGACTCATCAGGTGAATCCTCAACCATATTTACCCTGCAACTCTGGGGGCAACTCTGGGGTGCCAGGAGAGCAGCATGTGGACAGCATGGCTGAGCCCTTCTGGCTCTGCTCACCTCGTCCTGTCTTCAGGAAAGCGCAGCTTTTAAGCAGCTCAGGCTCTAATACTGGCATTGCCAGTTAGTGGAGGGATTCGTAGCAAACCACCAGTTCCCTCAGATTCATTTCCCCTCTGTTAAATCGCTGCAGGAGGTTAACAGGGCTGTAAGTGTGCATGCAGTACTTGGCACCTGATGTGTACTCCTTGAATATTATTACCACTGCATTATTCCTATCATCACAGCCAGCATCTTTTTTTGTTCACTGGTTTGGTTGGTTGGTTTTTATTTTTTTAGACAGGGTCTTGCTATGCAGCCCAGGCCACCTTTTAACTCTCAGTGATCCTCCTGCCTCAACTTCCCAGGTTCTGGGATTACAGATGTACACCAGCACACCTGGCTGCTGCTTTTTCTTGAAAGAGTGCATGAATTATTTTTCTGTCCTGTAGTACAAAACATAAGGGAAGTCTCAGGACCACCCACACTTCAAGAGCATTTTATGATGTCATCCTTTGCATTTTAGAATATTTAACAACCAAGGCGAAGAAGTAAAGAAGATAGAATTCAAGCATGGTGGAAACTATGTCACTGCCCCCAAAGAAGGTTCTTTTGAACTGTATGGAGACCGGGTCCTGAAACTGGGAACTAACATGTAAGCAACTTCTCCCTCCCAGTAGGAAAGGAGGTCCCCTAATTCAAAAGAATCAACCTGACTTCTGCTGTGAAATCCCCTGCTGACAACTGTAGTCGTTCCATTCCCCCTTAGCACCCAAGACCTCCAAACACAGGGCAACCCAACAGGTCAACAAGAAAGCTAGATTTAAGCAGCCATAGAAGGCCAGGTTTATCACCACACTCAGGAGGCTGAGCAGGAGGATGCTTCCATGGTTTGTCTGATTGTTCAAGGCCAGCCTGGTCTACATAGCGAGACTTTGTCGCTAAATAAATAGCCATGAAAGAAAAGTAGCCAGAGCTTCTGCTGCTATGGAAATCCATAGAGACACAGCTTCTACGGGTCTTTTCAGCACCATGTATTACTCTTTACAAGGGAGGCACTACCACACAGCTTCCCCAGGAATTTTTCTTTGGGAAGAAATAAAATATGCGGCTGGTCCGATGGCAGGGGATTAGCAGAACTTATTAACATTAGTGTCACTAAAGTTGATATACCACCCCCCCCACTGCTAAATTTGACTGGCTTAAAAAAAAAAAAAAAGAAAGAAAGAAAGAAAATACGCATGGCTAACAGTTGTACTCACAGCACCTTTCTGGATGTCACTTAGTGTAACAAAAATAAGAGCTGTGACCTACACTGACAGGTTTGAAAGAAGGCAGTGAAAAGCACTAGATCGTGTCACCATTTTCTGTTGACGCCAGGTACAGTGCACATCGGCCTGTGGAAACGCATATGTCTGGAGCATCCAAGAACTTAGCCTCGAAAGCACAGGTGAGTGTCTGGTCCCTCCCTTATCCTCACCACCTCTTTTTTTTTTTTTTTTTTTCTTTTTCCTTTTTATCGGTACCAGGGATCGAACTCACCACTGCCTGCCTGCTTGCAAGGCAGGCGCTTATGCCACTGAGCTAAATCCCCAGCCCCTCCTCACCAACTCTTTCAAGATATGAAAATCTGGGGGCTGGAGGTTTAGCTCAGTGGTATAAGCGCCTGCCCTGCAAGCAGGCAGGCATGAGTTCGATCCCTGGTACCGATAAAAAGGAAAAAGACAACAACAACAAAAAAAAAGATACAGAAATCTGCATGAGGGGGAGGATGAGAACCTTAGGTTTCAGAGCTGACCCATTTTCCGTATTGTTTGTGATCTTCTCCGGTCAGCCTTACAGATTTGTAACTGTAACTTTTCATGAAGCTTTCTAAGGATCTGACTAATTGGGTAATTTTAGACTTGGTTCAACCACCATAATTAAGCAGGAACCATGTATCAGGGCTTGTGAAATAGCATTGTGCCAGTGTCACTAGGTATCGCGGTTGCTGAGTCCAGCACTTGTGTGTGTGCTGTTAAATCATCCCGTTTTCATGTGTTCCCATAGTGATGTGGCAGCTAAGTTCCAAACAGAGTTTCATTTCTCGGAAGCTCAGCTCTATAAGTTGTCACTAACCAGCCACAGCTCACAATCAGACAAACCATGGAAGCGTCAGTTATTAAGCAAGCACTTATCAAACTGCTTCCCTGGGCGCGGAACCAGGGACACAGGGAGTGTAAATGTGGTCCCATCCAGAAGGGACAGGTAGTCCTCTGGAAAAGACGGCAGTAGAAAAAGTAACTCTGAGGAGATGGGAGCTCACTAAGCGTTCTGTCCTAGCGCACGTATTCTGTGGCAAGGTGGATGCCAAGGGACAGGTAGTGTCAGGAAGGCTTTTCAGCCAGGTGCAGTGGCGCACACGTGTGATCCCAGCACTTGGGGCTGAGGCAGGAGGGTCGTGGGGAGTTCAAGGCCAGCCTGGGCTACAGCAACTTTTCAGAGATGGTGGATATTGGATTGGGCCTTGTGAAACACTAACAGGGGAAAAGACATTGTTGTGCAGTCTGAGGTGACAAAGTGACCAAAAGCAAGAGGGCAAAAGAGCAGGGGGAGCCCTGTAGCACCATGGCTGCTGCATAGTGTGACTGAGGCAGGCGGCAGGGATGCCACTGGACAGGGACACAGGGCCAGATTGTGCAGAGGGGGGTGTTTTACATGGCTTGACTGTGTTCTTTAGACAGGAAGTAGAGGAGTTTGTTTCAAGTAAGAGAGAAATGAGACAAGGATTGTGTTTTGTGTAACGGATGGCCGCGTTTTAGGGCCAGCCAGGTAGGAAGGAAGGACGTGCACAGGTTGAGGGAGACCGAGGACTGCAAGGAGAGAGAGGCCTCGAGGGCATGGTCCCGGCTGTCACCACCAGAGGGCAGTGCGGCGCTTCTCCAGGATGGTGCCTTGGGACCCAGAGACTTGACTGGGGCTTCTGGTACCCTTGGAGGAAACCCGGTTGACCAAAGAGGAAGCTTGGTGTTCTCTTTTCGGAGGAGGGGAAGGTAGTTTGAGGAGAAGCGTGATCCCCGGGGAACCACATGCATCCCGAAAGTATGAGCATCTCCAGTTTGCTGTCTTGCTAGATTCTTTCTGCTGCTAATGCAGATTACTTTTTCTTTTGGCTCAGCCTGCTTTCTACGCTTCAGTTGGACCCAGAAATAATTCTTGTTTTACCTTGTTTTGTAAAACCTCCCTGGGTCTCAGGGGTTTTTGCAGGAAGTGCGATCATGTTCATGTGGCTACAAAACATGCAATTGTTTCTGCAGAAAAGCATTGCTCCAAATCCTCTCGCTAAAGAAGAGCTAAATTTTCTGGCCAGACTAATGGGAGGAATGGAGATTAAGAAACCCAGCGGCACCGAACCAGGATTCCGGTTGAATCTCTTTACTACTGATGAAGAGGAGGAGTATGTTTCAACCCTGTTCTTTAAAGACATCTATAAAAATCCTAAGTGTCCAAACATGACAATTACAAACCAATGATACCTATAAATTCAGAAGATCACAAATGAAATACTAGCGAATTCAGTGTCGTGGTTAAAGATGTTCCCCAGGATTAGATGGCCTGAACTTTCCGGAGGCATCCAAAAGGAAAGCTAGCCAGATATGGGGGCACTATCCTGTAATCCCAACACCCGGGAGGCTGAAGCAGGAGGATCACAAGTTGCACAACAGTCTAGACAATTTAGCAAGACCCAATCTTACAGTAAAAACCAAAACAGTTCTCAGAATGTACCGCAGAGTGCAAGCCCTGGGTTTAATACCCAGTACCACAAAAAAGGGAGAAGAAAAGAACCAAAAAGAAGTTGGAATTTCATGTCTTTGATGTTAAACAACTTCACCAAAACAATAGCAGTAGTAATTCATCAAAGATATAGTGTTTTTTGTTTAGAGTTATATCCCCAGGCAATAGTGTTTTATAGTATATAATGCACATTCTTGTTTTTTGTGATGCGGGCATTGAGCCCAAGGCCTTATACTTGCTAGGCAAGTGCTCTACCACTGAGCTACATCCTCAGCCCTCTATGTATTTTTTTTTTTTTTTTTTTTAGTTTTAGAGTTTCACTATGTAATCCTGGCTGGCCTCAAAAGCATAGCAATCTTCCTGCCTCAGCCTCCTGACTGCTGGAATTACAGGCATGCACTACCTTATCTGGCCCACTACATACATTTGTATGCCTTATCTTGTGATTCTCCCCACAAGCACGTGTTTAAAGTAGAAGTTTCCTTCTATTGACCCCAGTTACTAAAGGAAGTTCTTCCATTTGCTTCTGTGTGGCAAACAGTACGCTAAGTGCTCGGGCCAAATGTTGGCAGGTAGAAGCACCCGTCCTCACCACATTCACAGCTCAGTGGGAGAGTGGAGGACATAGGTCTTTCCAGGGCTGTTTCATGAATGCTCCGACTTGGCGCCAGCCAGCTGCAGGGGCTGGCATGGATCTGAATCTCAGAGCTTGCCACGCAAGGGAGGGAGGAAATATTCCTGGCAGAGTTCAGGGTTCGCAGAGACCCAGAGACAGCGACAGGCTTGACTCTCTGGAGTACCGGGAGCATTGGTTAGAGATGGTGGAAAGGTGAAGGGCAGTGGCAAGATGAGACCGAAAGGGCAGGCTGGCAAAGCCCAGAGGGAAGCTCGCTGTGCTATGAAGGAGAAAACTCTGGCCTTGAACCCATTTCTTTACTATCTCATCTAGACATGCGGCGCTCACCAGGCCCGAAGAATTATCCTACGAAGTTATCAACATACAAGCTGTGCAGGTGTGTATGGGAGATTTCACAGGGTCTAGGCTCTTTTGTTGTCTTCTTTTTTTTTTTTTTTTTTTTTGTCTTTTTTACTTTTTGAGACAGTATCTGACTTTTGAGATAGTATTACTATGCAGCCCAGGCTGGCCTTGAACTCACTGTGTAGCCCAGGCTGGCCTCAAACTCACAAATGATCCTCCTGCTTCAGCCTCCCAAATGCTGGGATTACAGGCAAGTGCCACTACCCCTGGCTCAAGGTCTAATCTTATTCCTTTCCTCATTTTATAGTAACCTTGAACTTCTAAGACTCTCTTCTCTCTAATGAGACTATAGCTACTGTCCCTGTTCTGACAAACAGGTGAACAAGTGAAACACATGCCAGTGGCGGAACCAAAACTTACAGTACCCACTGCGCAAAGCAGCATCCCTCCCGACATGTGCTCTTCATCCCTCCTGCTTCTGGTTTCCCTGCAGGACCAGCAGCGGAATGAAGAGCTGGCTCGGATCATGGGAGAGCTTGAGATCACAGAGCAGCCAAGGCAGAGCACCAGCAAAGGGGACGATCTGCTGGCCATGATGGACGAGTTATAGCTGTGCCGACCAGGCACAGCCCAGCCCACCTCCCTGAAGACAGAAGGCCCCAGGGTCCAAATGATGCTGCTAGTTTTTCACCGAGCAAGGCCATTACTGCTCGTTCCCTCTCATGTTGTAATGAACTGTGCAGTTTTCCTCAGAGATCACACTTCCCGGAAGGCACACGCGCACATGTATTTTCAGCAAAATACATTCTGACTCTCAAACTGGACTTTTCCCATTTAGTCCTAATTCTATGGCAACCATACAGAAAGCACCCTGGGTGGGAAATTGAGCCCCAGAGCCATCAAGGAGACACTCCCATTATCCTTTTCAGGTTTGCTGCCTTACTTTTCCCGTAGGGACTTGTATCTCACAGATGCCTGTAAGTCATAACAGAAGCATCGGTGTTTGCCAGGATGTGCTGTGCCTTGTAGATAAGTTGGATATCAGAAGGCTTCAGTCTGTCAGGGCCAGATTAGGTCACCCTCCTCCCCTTGGCACACAAGAACTGTCACCTCCCAGAGGCAGCCCGAGTAAGCCAGGCCATGGCAAGGCACATGCGGTATGTATTTGTCTGCATACATTCCTGCCTGTGCATATGGGTAGTCTTTGGCCATAGGGTATATTAGCCCTCCAAAGACACCCAACCCAATGTGCTGTGACATTTGTCTCTGTGTCACCTTCGGTCATCAGGAAGAGCCTTACGCTGACTGTGCTGGAGTCACTTCCCCTTCCGTGTGCCAACAGAGCCACTTCTCTGGGACCCATGGGAACTGTCTCAAGCCAGGGTTGCCACAGAGTTTCAGAAGGAGCAGCAGCCCTGCACACGTGCTCCCTCCCGGGACTGAGGAACCCAGAGGCACGGGGCCAGCCATCATCAGGGTCAGGATCTACTCAGCCCCATGGAAGGAGTGTCTGGGAAAACAGTGGGTGATAGAAAAACCCAGCTGAGCAGATCATTCCCTGAAACAGGGCCCATGGCAGGGACCACCGTGGCCCCCACATCCGAGGAGAGTAGGGACAGGCAGGGAGGGCAGATCCAGGATCTAGATACACAGAAGTAAGTGGCAAGATAAATTCAGTTCGCTTCTGACCCAGTTATACTTCCTGGTGGAAGGTGGCACACACCTGTAATCCCTGCGCTCAGGGAGCTGAGGCAGTGTAATGGCAAGTTCAAGCCTAGCCTGGGTAACTTAGCAGACTCTGCCTCAGAATAAAAACTAAGGAAAGGGCTGGGGATGTACCTCAGTGCAAAGGCGCAGGTCGCAATCCCCAGTGCAGCAAAAAAATTAATTAAAAATTAAACAAAAATAAAAACTAAAGTTATACTTCCTTACCTATAAACACACCTGCCCTCCCCCACAAAACAGTTCCCTTAGGAGGGGAAGACTCACTGCAAAATGCCTGCTGCACAGGTACCAACGACCATCCCTTGTCCCTTTAGTCCCCTGTAAGTAAACCCCCACCCCCTGCTCGCCAGGACCTGACCCGGGCACAGGGAGAGGGAAAGTTTCTCTCCTGCTCTGAGCCTGGCTCCCTCCGTGCTGTCAAACATGAGCTTCCCTGTCTGGACCTGGACTGTGGGCCACCAGGTGCCTGGGAGCAGCAGCCTCCTGCCTCCACCTGTCCCAGCGCCATGCTGGTGACTTCCAATGTGACTTTCCTCTGGTGAAATAAACAAGATACAGATCTCTGTGATGAGATAAGCATGGAGTTTCGTGTCTTAAGACTTGCACAACATTAAGAAAAACAAGCTGATTTGTATGGTGGCTGAGAACATCCAGAGAAGCACAGGAGGCAGGGAGGAGCAACCCAAACACACAAAAGGAGAAGACAAGGGACTGTGGAATGTAGCCCAGGGGCAAAGCACTTGCTTAACGTGTGAGGCCCCAGGTTCTAATCCCCAGCAACACAAAACAAAAGTAAGGATTCCCTTACCTAAAGTGTGAGCTAAGTACTAACAACACATCAGTGTTCATTTAAAAGCAGGCCAAAAGAATACAACAATGCCCAGTGTACTTCAGGGGAAAGGCCTATGGGTTAGGATCAGAACACTGCCTTGTCTCATCCCTGTCCCTCAATTCACCGTGTCATTGTGGGCCAGTTACCCTCAGTTTCCTGAGCCATAAGAAGACTCAGTTCAGTGACTCCAGCCCAGCTGGCCTCAGAGAGCTCCCACTACAGGCCCTGCCCCTGGTGGAACCCGAGAGAGGTTTTGCCACACCCCATGCTCTGGGGAGCAGCCACAGTCCTTCACTCCTGTGACTATGACCTCTTCCCAGGCAAGTTGCAAACTCTCCTTAGAGGGTCGGAAGTTACGCAAGGCAAAGCTATGGAAAAATCAAAGGTCTTTAATGGCTTCCAGCAGAAAGCAGCTATAATAGAAATCAAGAGTGAAAGAGGAAGGAAAAAAATTAATTCATCCTTTAATTCTAACAGGAAAGTCAACTGGGTGTGGTGATGCACAGCTATAATCTTAGCATTCAGGCTGAGGCAGGAGGATCCCCTCAAATTGGAGGCCAGCCTGAACTATATAGCAAGACCCTGTCAAAAAAAAAAAAAAAAAAAAAAACAGAATAAAGTCATCTCATGTAGTCTACATATGCATCTAACAATTTGAAAGATAAAAGTCACTTTTTTCCTTAGATGCAAATCCCAGAAGGAAAGAAACAGATTTTAGCATGACAATTCCAGAGATACCCAGCTGGGTACCAGATCAGATGGTCTCAGTTGTGTGTTTTCATAATCATCAGCTTTGTCACTGTGATTTACATGCAGTATAACTATAACCACACTGTTCAGCCACAGGAAACCAGTACAAAGAAATGCTCATTTTTATTTTATTTTATTTTTATTTATTTATTTATTTTGTATTTTTACTGCTACCAGGGATCGAACTCATGACTGCCTGCTTGCATGGCAGGTGTTTATGCCGCTGAGCTAAATCCCCAGCCCCGAAATGCTCATTTTTAGAACATATATAAATTAAGCATAACCTCAAATCTTTTTGTGTGCTCAATTGGTTGATTTTCTTGCTTTTGTTTTTTGAGAAAGTGTCTCACTATGGAGTTCAGGCTGGCCTTGAACTCACTGTGTAGCCCAGTCTGACCTCGAGCTCTTGGCAATCCACTCAGCCTCCTAAGTGATGGGACTACAGGTGTACAATACCAAACCCAGTTTACAATCTCAAATTTTGGAGGCTCAAAGTCTAAAAACTAAGCTGGGCATGGTGCCGTGTGTCTGTGACTCCCGCTACTTAGAAGCTTGAAGTATAAGAATGAGTTCTAGGCCAACCTGGGGAACTTTCTGTCTCAAGAAAGAAAAAAAATGAATCTAACCTTTACCTGCCTCCTACTCCCCCCCCCCTACTTTTTTTTTTTTTTTCATTTTCTTTTTTGTCTTTTTGAGACAGGGTTTCATTTCGAAGTTCAGGCTGGCCTTGAACTTGAAACAATCCTCCTTCCTCAGCTTCCCAAGTGCTAGGATTAAAATTTACAGCAATCCTCTTGCCTCAGCCTTCCAAATGCCGGGATTATAGATGCACACCACCACACCTAGTGTTCTTATTCCCTTCAAATTGTCCCTTGGATAATTTCTTTTTTTTTTTGAAAGTAGTAAAATACAACAGAACAAGACAGAATAAAGCCAACTGAGACCATGTAGTGAAATTGGTACAGAACTTCACAGCAGGTTACCAGGATAACAGTAATAGGTATCACAGTATATTTCATTATCTTTACAATAGTTGTTCTTTCAATCACATATATCAAAATAAAATAAAATTCAGAACATTATAGAACTTATCAAAACAATATTGAATAGAGCAGTACCATTAATCAGAATAAAGCAAAACTAATAAAAATATTAGTTATAAAAATATCAAAGAGATGGTAGAAGAAAATCCCCCTTCTTTGCTATGGTCAACCTCCCAAGAGATACTCAGATTTCTGGTTCCCATTTGCTAATGGGGGAGGGGGAGCGCCGCAACAGGGGAAGGAGGGTAGGGGAAGTGGGATGTTGACTAGGCCGAGCACCAGTAGGTTCACTATTGCTTAGCAGGGAGGCAGGCTGGTTGCTTGGCTTCCCAATGTCCTAAATTCCAACGTAGTGTGGATCTCAGAAGACACTGGTAGTTCTCCCCCTGGAGCTGCCGTAGTCTGCCACACCTCCACCGTTTACCAGGGAGGAGAGCTCCCTTTGGATAATTTCTGAGCAGCTAAACTCCTAGACAGCAGCAACAGAGGAGTTACAGCAAAAGACTGATATGAGGGGGCCGCTCCATGGTTGACTCTTCGTGGCAAAGCTTGAGACATGATGTGAACTAAACTCTCAGATGGAAACTTGCTTTTTTTCAAGTGGAAAAAAAAATACTCCAAGGCCCATGGAAATCATTTTGTGATATTTGATTGCCTTAGCACTCCCCACCACCACTCACGCAGGCATATTTCACTCCTGGCCTGTTTTCCAGTCTTTATCCTTATCTGCCCACCCCAATTCCTGAGCCCAGCGCCAGCAGGACCTCAGGGTTCACCAGGCCCGCAGCACTTGGTTTGCATTCTTCCGTAAATCATTTTGTATCACTTTTGCCTGCAGCTGTGACCTTCAACTCTTACCTCTGTGCTGCTGTCACTTTCCCACCTGCACCGCGGGCTGATTCACCTGATGTCCCTCATCTCTTCACTCTTCAGAGGCTAAAGTTGAAGTCATTTTTCCGTGATGTATTGACTTCACTTTGAAAAGGCATGAAGAGGGCCTGGGGTTTAGCTCAATGGCATAAGCGCCTGCCTTGCAAGTGTGTGGTCATGAGTTCAATCCCCGGTACTGATAAAAAAGAAAAAGACAAAAAAAAAAAAAAAAAAAAAAAAAAAAAGAAAAGAAAAGAGAAGAAAAGGCATGAAGAAGCCAAATGTGGTAGTGTATTCCTGTAATCCCTAAACTGGAAAGGCTGCAGCAGGAGGATCATTGGAGCCCAAGAGTTTGAGGCCAGCCTGGAGCACTTAGTGATCAAGACCCTGTTTCAAAAATAAAAGAGAAAAGGGAGGGAAGGCCATTAAGAAAAGGAAACGGGCTGGGGATTTAGCTCAGCGGCATAAGAACCTGCCTTGCAAGCAGGCGGTTGTGAGTTCTATCCCCGGTACCAATAAAAAGTTAAAAAGAAAAAGAAAAAAAGAAAAGGAAACAGAGGGCTAGGGGATATCACTCAGCAGCACGGCATCTGCCTGGCAAGTACAAGGTCATGAGTTTGATTCTCGGTATCAAAAAAAAAAAAAAAGTAAAGGAAACAAGCTGTATTATGTACATATAGTGCATTACTGAAAAAATGCAGAAATAAATTTTAAGTATATGTATATATGAAAAAGAAAAAAAGGACTGGAGATGTTGCCCAGTGTGAAAGAAAGAGGCTGGGGATTTAGCTCAGTGACCTAAGCGCCTGCTTGAATTCGATCCCTAGCACCACAAAAAAAAAAAAAAAAAAAGGAGAGAAAAGAAATGAAACTAATTCTAGCCCTGGAACTGAGGGGGCCTGGGATTTAGCTCAGTGGCCTAAATTCCCTCCTGGCAAGGGTGAGGTTGTGAGTTCAATCCCTGGTATCAAAAAAGAAAGGGAGCTGAGTACCCTGCCATATACTTATAATCCCAATTACTCAGGAAACTGAGGCAGGAATGTAAATTCCAGACCCACCTGGGCAGTTTATCAAGATCTTGTCTTTTCAGTGTTTTTTATTTTATTGTTCATTTGAAATGGGGTCTCACTATGTAGTTGAGGTCTCATTTTCACAGCAGTCCTCCAGCCTCAGCCTCCTGAGTCCTGGGATTACAGCCATGTGCCTGTTTCTGCTTTGGTTTTTGTTTTGTTTTGTTTTTTGACTGTTTTGAGACAGGACCTCACTATGTAGTTCAGGCTGGCCTCACACTCACCATCCTCTTCCTGCCTCAACCTCCCAAATGCTGGGATTACAAGCATGCACTATCACTCCTAAAACTTGTTGGGTTTTGTTTGTTTGTTTGTTTGTTTGTTTTTTGTTACGGGGATCGAATTCACAACTGCACACTTGCAAGGCAGGTGCTTATGCTGCTGAGCTAAAGTCCCAGCTTAAAACTTGTTTTTAAAAACAAACAAGTAAATAAAACAGGCTGGGGTGTAATTTGTGGTTGAGCCATTACTTGCCTAGCAGTAAGTGCAGAAACGCTGGGCTCACACCCCGGTGCTGAGAAGGAAGAAGGGAAAAAATCTACTGGCAAGGCCTCAGGCAACTTAAAAGAGTTTTCTGGAAGAATAGAGACACTCAGAAAGGAACAAGAGATGGGAGATGGAGAAAGACCATAGCACCAGGAATAATCTACCTAGTTACACAGATACTAGGACAGAGCCAAAAGAGACCCTGCTGGCTTTTGTCACTTGCTCTGGATATAAAGATTGATAACTGCCATGTTTATGTCATAAGCCCAAATGTAACTCACACAGTTCAAAGAGAGTTATCTATCTTGCCTTTTTTTTTTTTTTTTTTTTTTTTTTTTTTGTCTTTTTCCTTTTTTATCAGTACCAGGGATCGAACTCACGACTGCCTGCTTGCAAGGCAGGCGCTTATGCCGATGAGCTAAATCCCCAGCCCCATATCTATCTTGCCTTTAAATCATGTGCTATGGGAAGCAGAGCCTCTCCTCCCACTAAAGTTCACAGACACATAAGGAACATGCCCTGAGCCTTTCTCCTCAGCAATCCACACAAGCTCTGCTGTGCCAAAGAAGCTCTTGGTAAGTCCCTAACCCTGCTCTTCTGGATACCCAGCATCCTCTTCCACCCACATTTCAGATAGATCAGCTTCCAAGAATCCAGATTGGCACTTTTCAAGGTCTTCAATGTTTATTTCTCCCTTCCATTTCTGCTGTCCATTTAGATTCCTACCCCTGTCTCGTCACACTCATCAAACTAGTGTTCTTCATGCAACTGTGGTTTATGGTTTATGGTGTAAAGTATTTGGGCCCCCTAAAGTCTTGTAAGGAGCATAAGATTTACATAAAAATTATAGCAAGTCTGGCCAGCCATGTTGGCACACACCTGTCATCCTAGCACTCAGGAAGCTGAGGCAGGAGGATCACTGTGAGTTCGATGTCAGCCTAGGCTATATATCAAGTTCAAAACCAACCTAGACTACATAGCAAGACCCTGTCTCAAACAACAACAACTGGCAATCTGTATGCAACAAGCAAAGAGAAATGCAAGCAATATGCTCTAAGAATCAGAGACATCACTCCACCTGCAGTGACTGCTAACTTCAGACAGACCTAGCAATTAAACTGGGCTTCCCAGGAGAAATTGGATTTAACATCTAATCCAATTGGATTTAACCAAGGGAGAAGCCAAGGCAGATAGATGGTTCAGGAAAGCAAAGACAGAAGAATAATAGGTACATCTGAAGACTGCTGAGTGACTGAGCCTTACCAAGAAAGTTTCAAATTTTAGTGTGCACTGTTAGATTTGCAAATTCCTAGGCATTCCAGATCATGTTGAGACAAATGGTTCCCAGGCCAAACTTTATGATATACTGATTAGAGAGTTTGAATAGAAAACTTGATAAGAGATATAGTGAGATCCTGTCTTGAAAGAAAGAAAAAAAAAACTTAAGATTCAGCTGAAAGCCAGATGAGAATCAAATCATGGGAGTTCTTAAATGTCAGCAATGGAGTCTTTAGTCTGCTAGTTAACTGAAAGTGTTCCTACCATTTAAATGATAAGATCATTTAGCAGGTAAGTGACCAAGATCAGAAGTGTACTTTGAGATTGTTGGCAAAGAATTGTAAGAGACACAAAGACTAGTGAGATAGTTTGTATAAGAAATTAAATGATACAAAGGAGCTCTTAAATAGGATAGGAGTTGCCGGGCGTGGTGGCTCATGCCTGTAATCCCAGCACTTGGGAGGCTGAGGCAGGAGGATCCTTTCAAGTTTGAGACCAGCCTGGGCTACAAAGTGAGCTCAAGCTAGCCTGAACTGCATAGCAAGACCCTGTCTCAAAAAGACCAAAAAAAAAAAAAAAAAAAAAAGGATAGGAGTCAAAATAAAATGTGACATGGAGTACCTCTATAATCCCAGCACTCTGGCAGTTGAGGCAGGGGGATTTCAAGTCTGATCCCACCCTCAACAATTTAGATTCAGCAAGACCCTGCATCAAAATAAAACAAATTTGAAAATCTGCTGGAGATTTAGCTGAGTGCAAAGGCCTTGTGTTCAGACCCTAGGGCCACAAAAGAAATGATTTTTTAAAAATGCTAGAAAGCTGTCAAGATTTCTCAAGGTACCAAACTTCAGGTGGTTAAAAATCGTGGCAATTACAGAAATGAGAAAATTCAGAGGAACAACTGCTTTGGGAGAGATACTTTGCAACAGGTACTTAGTAAAAGATTTGTAAAACAGTCTAGGCTGGAGACATGGACATGTATTCAGCAATGATACAGGAAACAGCATGACAATAAACACTGAAACCAGAGGAAAACCTGACAAAACCTCTAGCTTCATTTGGTTTATCATCAATTTTAGAGGTCACATAGCTAAGCAGTATACTCCCATTAACTGTGTTACAGGTAACACCTCTGACACATGATCCTGGTGACAACGATTGCCTAAATTGTTTTTCAGAAACTTAAGAGTTGGCTCAAACCAGTTGAAACCACTGGCTTGGGGCCTGTGCAAGTGTCTGATGGGTGCCATTTTGATGTCAGAGAGCCAGAAACACCCTCACAGTACACTAATGCTGCCATTTTCTGAACCTGCATCCTATAAAGATGTTTGACTAGGCACATGTAGATCATGAGTTTCAATTTTCCTTAATTCCAGTCACCTTTCCTCATGCTTCAGCCCACTGTTTTTATTTTGCTGTTGTGATTTTGTATTGTTTGACCATTAACCTTAATCGATTATTATTATTTTTTTAATCGGTACCAGGGATCAAACTCATGACCACACACTTGCAAGGCAGGCGCTTATGCCGCTGAGCTAAATCCCCAGCCCGAGCTGATTATTTTTTTGAGACAGGATCTTGCTAAGTCACTAAATGGTCTAGGCTGGGCTCAAACTTTCAATCCTATCTCAGGCTCCCAGAGCGCTGCGATTACAGTTGGCTAATTTTTCTTAAACTTGAAAAAAAAAAAAAAAGGCTGGAGATGTAGCTCAGTGGTACAGTGCCTACCTTGCATGCAAGACATACTGGGTTCAGTCCCCACTGTAAAAAAAAGAATCGAAGGAGATAGGAGAGAGATGCTCTCCTCTGACAGTTTATCAATCACTGCACTCCTGGTATTAGATGTGGAAACTAAGGCAGAGAATAATTTGCCTTAAATCATGCAGTCAGCAAAGGACAGATTTGAACCTAGGTCCCCGCACTTCTAACCATGAAATCCAAGCTTTCTCACGTTGGCTTACAAAGTCCTAAAGGCCGGGGCTCCTTTCTCTGGGGCATCTTTGATACACTGCTCTCCTCTGCCTCAGTAGCCTTTCCGTTTGTCCCACTGTCAAGGTCATAAAAACTCGTTCATATAAACCGTGTCCTCTAATTGCAACTGCTCTCCTAACTTTGGCCTACTTTCATGTCATTCACCGCAGCTCAAGTAACCTCCTCAGGACATCCACATCTTCCAATAAAAGGTTATCCACTCACTATGACATCACACTATTTTAATCATCTGAACAACGTTTATACTATTTTCGGGTTTTACTCTCTCCCCCTCGGCGCCACCAGTTCAGACAGACATTCATCAGCTCCTGGTCGTTCTACAACCCAGTCTTCGAAGTTCTTCGGTTCGGGATAACAAAATGAGCATGAGCCGAGGCTAGCTGGCGGTTTCCTAGAGGTTGTACTCTGCGGCGCGGCCCAGGCGACCGCACGTCTGACGCTCTGCGTGCCCTTAGCGCGGAGCTTCCTGGGAGTCGTAGTCTGCGGCCAGCTCCCGCGACGCGGCCTGGCGCACAGAGGTGGCTCAATGTTATGAGCTGCTGCGGCCAGCATTGCCATGGCTTCTCGGCGAGTTGGTGGCGGCAGGAGGCAACTCAGCTAGGCGCTGGCAGGCTTCGGCGGAAACGCGGGCGCGGGAAGCAAAGGAATTAGGCGTGGTGGGTCCGGGTCTGCAGAGTGCGGGGAGCCCGAGAGGCATCTTCTCCCACATTTGTAGAGTGGCTCCTCTCCCGACACCCATTTCCGCTGCTCCGCGTGCAAAGGGGCCTCTACATCCCCATCTTACGGGTGCGGCTATACTCGCGAACAACCCATTGACTAGCACAGGTTCTGCCTCCTTAGGAAGTAGCAGAGCCTGTCCCCGAGCCCAGGCCTCTCGAGGCCCAGTGGCTGCGCTTTGCAGTCACAGCGCGGCGCCAAACCTTTGCTGGATCATTCTCAGGCTTAAACGGGGAAGTGGGGAGAGGAGCGCTTAATGCCACAGCGCAGAACCTTGGTGGTATTTTTGGTCTCTCTCTCTCTCTCTCTCTCTTTTTTTTTTTTTTTTTTTTTTTGTTTTTATTTGTACCGGGGATCGAACTCACGACTGCCTGCTTGCAAGGCAGGCGCTTATGCCGCCGAGCTAAATCCCCAGCCCCCGACCTTGGTGGTATGTTTCAATGCAGTCTTGAGAGACCTTTGACTCAGGGTCTGAGAATAAGATTTAGATGAGACAGTTATGAATCCAGTATCGAGGCATGTTGAAAGCACAGGAAAGTGGCCTTGCCATAGAGAGATTCTGGTTAGCGATAGTTTAATAAATGAAACAATTTCAGAGACTAAGTGACCTACAGAGTTAAGTGTAGATTGAGAATTCCAATCAGTGTACTGTATTTTACATACTACATTTTTTCGTTTGTTTAAATTTTTACTTACATGGAAAGTGCATGGTACAGGCCACCTGCAGGGTGGACCCTTGGCCCACATCAGCATCATCTGGTAACTTGTTTCCTTTGCACATTCCAGGGCTCCAGCTCAGACCCTCAGGAACTGGGGCTCAGCAATCTGTGCACTAACAAATCCTCTGGGTGATTCTGATGCATACTAACATTTGGAATTTTTGTTTTTGTTTTGGAGAACTAAGTGTTGAACTCAGGCTCTTCACACTGAGCTATCTCCCCAGTCTTATTTATGTGCTCTCTAAAAGGTTGGCCTTTTTAATAATTTTTATTTTTATTAGCACATTTGTAATACATAATGTTTACATTCATCATGGAGAGTTGGCACATGACATGATAGGTCTTAATTCTTTCTAGTTTTTCTCGCCCTCCCCCATCATTTTTATTTTTTGAGACTAAATCTCATGGTTAAGTTGCCTAGGATGGGCTCAAATTTTTTATCCTCCTGTCTTAGCCTCCAAAAGTGCTGGGATCACCAGCATACACCAAATTTTCACATGCATCTAATTCACATAAGGGTCAGATTCTATGTCAGTAGGTCTGAGAGAGAGATCCAAAATTGTTTTTTCCTGAGACAGGGTTTCACTTTGTAGTGCACACTGGCCTTGAACTCATTATGTAGCCCAGGCTGGCTTCCAGCTCGCTGTGATTTTCCTGCCTCAGCCTCTGGAGTACTGGGATTTCAGGTGTGCACCACCATACTGGGCAAGACCCATGCTTTTGTATTTCTAACAGTTGCACTGGAGATCCCAGCCCACAGAGCATATTTTGGGTAGCAAGGATATAAATTACTTTAGGGCAGTGAATCTCAAGGTTGTCAACAATTTTAGAATTACCTGAGGAGCTTTTAAATTTTAAGATATCTGGACCTTTATGGTGCTAACCAAATAAATCAGAATCTTTGAGGTGTGGAAGCTAGGTGAAATTTCTCTAGGTTGAGTGTGGGGTGGCCTGCAGTTCCAGCACTGGTGAAGGTAGGTTGAAGCAAGAGGATTGCCACAGTTTGAGGCCAGCCTGGAATATATACCAAGACCTACGTTAAAAAGAGAAAAATCTCACCTTACAAGGTGATTCTAATGAACTAAAAGGCTCAGAACTACTGGTGTGAGATTCAAGTTAGGCAGCTGAGGATTTGAATCCCTCCACCTCCATTTAGCAATTATATGATGTTAAGCAAGTTGTAAGAATGTGTTAGTTTGTCCTTACCATATTTTCCCTATCTATAAAGGGTGTAAGTAATCCTTGGTTTACAAAGTGATCTGAGAATACTATGAGATGTGTATATGAAACTTGTATCCAAAAAAGGTGAAAACTGGAAAGGTGGTTAGGCTTGGGAAGGCTGGTGCCAGGGATTTTGAGAAGCTGGTGAAAGTGTGCACTGTAGTCCCTAGCCTGCTATAGCTGCCATCCGTGTGCTTCTGCCCACAGCAAGCAGCCAGCCTGTGTGGAACAATGGCAGTGAGCCACTCAGTGAAGGAGCGGACCATCTCCGAGAACAGCCTGATCATCTTGTTGCAAGGCCTTCAGGGCCAGGTGACCACTGTGGACCTACGGGATGAGAGTGTGGCCCACGGACGAATTGACAATGTCGATGCTTTCATGAACATCCGCCTGGCTAAGGTCACCTACACAGACCGTCGGGGGCATCAGGTTGAACTGGATGACCTCTTCATAACAGGCCGAAACGTTCGATATGTCCACATCCCAGATGACGTGAACATCACCGCCACCATTGAGCAGCAGTTGCAGATCATCCATCGAGTGCGAAACTTTGGCAGCAAGGGACAAGGCCGGCAGGAGTTTCCCACCAAAAAACATAAGTGAGGCTGTCGCCTCAGCAAGTTCTGGAACTAACTCAGGATTCTCTCTGAGCCAATTCCTGCTACCCCTCCCAGCCTGGTATAGGACAGACATCTCTTGCTACAGCTCTTTCACAGAGTGCACCTCTCAGACTCATACTGGGAGACAGAACTCTGTCTGTCTGCCTGTGACCTTGGGGTAGGTGACAATCCCCCTTTTGGATCATTTGTGCCCAAGTATGATTTATTGATTTAGGAAATTTGTCAAGTAGTTTTCAGTTCACTCCCAATGGAGGTTATTAAATGTAGTTGGCCTGAGTCACCGCAACCCCCTTTTCTCTTGTAGTTCATTTTTTCATAAAACCAACCTTGAGTACAAAGAGATCCATGCCTTGCGCTTTCCCTTCTAGGTGGCAGGCATCTTGCTGGTCTTGTATAGTAAGGCTCATGGTCTCTGATTTGGCTGCATGTTGGAATCATACCCCTCCACCACGCATATGCACACACCCTGCTAAGATTCAGATTTAATTGGTGTAGAGTGTGGCCCAAGCACTGGGACTTATTTTTTTTTAATACTGGCACTTGAAAAACAAAAGTACTGGCACGTAAACCCAGGGCCTTTGTCCTAAGCTATATCATCAGCCTTTTATTTATATATTTATTTTTTAATTTTTAGACAGGGTCTCACTAAGTTGCTAAATTGCCCAGGCTGGGCTCAGACTTGTGAACTTCCTACCTTAGTTTACCAGAGTGCTGGGATTATAGGTGTGTACCACCACACCATACTACACTAGGACTGTCCCCGATGACTCTGATATGTAGGAAAGACAGAACTGTAGTCAGAGAATACTTCAGTGGGGTCAGGTAGAAAGTGTGTTTCTATTCAGATACCTGTTGAAAAGGCAGTTAATCTCACTACTGTTTCCTGAGGCAGAGAGGCGAGGCTGGAGTATTCCTAGTCCTCCCTTTGGGTATGGGAGTTCCTAAATCAGTCTCCATAGAAGTGTTATGCTTGGACCACCTCATGAGAACTAATTGAAATGTGTGTAGAAAACGAACTTTCCAAAGAAAAGGGAAAGGGGAAGGAAAGGGAAAGGAAAAGGAACTTTCCTGACTCCCTCTGACTTCAGACTTCAACCAGGAATCTGCCTTAGAAACACCCACTCACCCTGACTCCCTGAAGACTGTGATGACTAAAAGTCCTGGGAGCCCCTCAACTCTGCATGCAGAAGAAAACACAGGATCCCAGCAGAGAGAAAACCCCTTCTCTGAATTTCCAAGCCCTTCTGACTTAAAGGGACCAATTTCACAAAGTGTTATGGTTTATATCTAAAATGCCTCCCCTAAAAATAAAATGGCCCCCCACAAGATTCATGCCCTCGTAAGTGGCGGGGCTTTGGGAAGGTAGTGGGGTTAGGGGGGTTTATAGCTGGCTTGCTGGTCAGAAGTGGTGGGTCACTGGGGGCATGGCCTTAAAGGGTCTCTCCTTCCCTCCCCACCTTGATCTCTCTCTTGTGTCACCACCGTGCCATGAGCTCTTTGTCCTCTGCCACAACACCTTGCCTTGGAGCAAGCTGACTACAGACTAAAATTACTATGGACTGTGAGTCAATGCAAACCTCTCCTCCTCAAAGCTGTGGCTCTCAGGTATTGTGTCTCAGCAACAAGAAAGCAGCTAACACACAAGGTGACCACAGGTAAAAGAAATGAGGGGCAGGTCCAGAAGGGAGGTCCTGGGGGTGGAAATGTTCATAGGTGCTCAGCAGGCGGGGACAAGATGATGAGCTGGCAGAAGCGCCCGCTGCAGCCTCCTCACAGACCTTTCCCGGGCGTTTGCACGTATTTCTAGACTTGAAGAGGGCTCCTGCTGGCGGTTTGGCTAGGAGTAGAGCAGAGGTCTATTCTGAACCTTGGATGGCACATCAAGCTCTTGTGCAGCTTCATCAGGGCCAGCCAGGGAAGTCACAGAGTAAGGACATGTTCCTTAATTGTCCTCTGCTGGACTCTACTAGGCCATCTGTCCTTGGGAAGGAAAGGAACCAGGCCCTGCTGAGACATACTTTTGCCAGCACCTGGCTGAGAGCAAAGCTGACTGCAGGCCCTAAGGATATGGGTCTTTTATAGTCTATCCTGGATTGTGGCATAGGCTTTTCAAGGGCACTGAGTAAAACCCAGAATGCTCAGTGCCGACCATCTTTTTTTTTTTTTTTTCATCTTTTTGAGACAGGGTCTTGCTATGCTATCCAGGCTGGCCTTGAGCTCACTTTATAGCCCAGGCTGGTCTCAAACTCACAACGACCCTCCTGCCTCAGCCTCCCGAGTGCTGGGATTATAGTGTGTGCCACCACACCCAGCAGTGTGCCCACCATCTTATGGGAAGCCAGGAATTCCCTGACTGCTACTGGTCAGTCGTTTCACAGCATCAGGTGTGTCCCAGGAACACCAGTGACAATTGAAAGAACATCAAATTGGACAAGAGCCAGGCACAGTGGTGCACACCTGGTGTCCCAGGAGGCTGAGACAGGAGGATCACAGATTTGAGCCCCACCTGAGCCATTTAGCAATTTGACTTAACGTTAAAAAATAAAAGCCAGTGTAGTGGTGGCACATCCCTGTAATCCCAGCGTTTAGGAGGCTGAGGCAAGAGGATTGCAAGTTTGAGGCCAGCCTAGGCTATGCAGTGAGTTCAAGGCCAATGTGAATCACAGAATGAGATCCTGTCTCAAAAAACCAATAAGTAAATAATAAGGAAATAACCAATAAGTAAGACTGGGGATTTAACTCAGTGAAAAGGCCATGGGTTGGTTCCCTTATTGGGGGGGGGGAGTGGACAAAGGCTTGCCCTCAGGTGTCTGTTCAGGGGGCAGACAATAGATGAGCAATGTAAAAATTTATACAGATGCCATGAAGGAAATAAACAGGGTCTTTGATAGAATAATAGAAGTAGTTTCATTTCTTTTAAAAAGTGGTCTGAGGAAGTGAAATTTAAACTTAAGGAGCCTGCTATTTAAAGACACAGGGAATCTGGATGTGGTGGCATATATTTGTGGCCAGCACTCAGGAGACTGAGGTGGAGAAGTTGCCAAAAGTTCAAAGCCAGCCTGGGCTACACAGTTCAAGGCCAGCCTGAACTACAAGAGCCCAGGGAAAACAAAGGAAACTGCCAGAACCAAAGTCCTGAGGGAAAGCTTAGGATTTAGGATGGATGACAGTGTCATCATGACTGGCATAGAAGGGAGAGAGGCGGGAGTAGAGAAATGGGGGCTGTGTCAAATGATACATTGTAGGCAAAGAATGTAGCTGAGTATAATTTTCTCTCTGTGCACCAACCATCCTGGCTTAACACATGATCTATAGCCGCAGCTCCTGGCTGCAATTAATTTCTTTCTGTCTTTCTCTCTCAGTGTGTATGCATGTGTGTGTATGTGTATAGATAGGATCCTGTTCTGTTATGTAGCCCAGGCTGACCTGGAACTCATGGCAGGCCTCCTGCATCAGCCTCTAGGATCACAGGCATGCACCAATGTTCTGATTGTATTTTCTGGTGTGTAGGAAATAGAACCTGAACTTTGACTCACTTTGAGTTCCTGTTTCATCTAACCAGCCAGAGTGGCAGAAACTCAATGACAATCACTTCACAGTTCCCTGTGTTTTCCTTAGAATTATGTTTCAATTCAAAGACATTTCCTTTCGTCTGATGTGGTGGCCACTGAGTCACAGTGAGACGTCCATCACCACAGAGATGTCCCTATTTATGTGTATTATTGGTCATCAGCTCGCAAAGGTTGCTGCTTCCTGAGCTGCCTAAAAGAACCCTCTGCATATTACCTCTCAGGTGTTATGTTTTTGGTTTTTTTGTTTCATTTGTTTGTTTGCTTGCTTTCCTCAGGCTGTGTTAGGCCCAGAAAATTCTTAGGTATTAGGTTGTCTGGGCCCAGATTTGGCCAATAAGCAGCACACAACTCCAGAACTTCATTTTTCCGAGTTGTATTGCCTCCTTGGTGCCATAACCTGGAAAAGGACCATGGCTGTTCTTTGCTGTCTGATCCAAAGACCCAACTGACAACCCCAGCAGGAGGTCCAGGAAAAGCTACTCTCTCATCAGGGGCCATCTCTTCACCCAGATCCCTGTGTTACACAGTTTTCTAAATTTGTTTCTGTACAGAAATTCTTCCCATTCTACCCCCTGAAGGCTGGGCTTTTGAAATAAAGAAGCTAAAAATGAACTCTGCAGTCTGTCATATCCTTCATTTCCTGAAATAACATGCAGAATAACCTAACTGTGAGGGAGGGCCCATGGACACCAAGGAAAAGATGGAAAGCATTTCCTGTGGGCATTATTCCATCAGAGACCAGATTGTGCACTCCTCCTTGCCAGGCATACACATCCACCCTTTCTGCAGCTTCAGCCAGGGAAGTCCCAGTAGATGACACCCCTAGAAACTATGGGTGCTCAATTGGCACAGAGTATTCCCCTCTTTCCGTGCCCCCATTCCTGGAGAGAATAGTTCAGGGGACCTTCATTTGAGGGAAGGGACTGCCAAAGTTCAGGAAAGCCAGGTGGGCAAGCTGCTGACAGCTTGGGTCTCCCAGAGACATTCCAGGACATAGCATGGCCAGCTCTCAGTGTGGCCAGCCAGGTAGGACTTACACCAGCTCAGTAAGCTGCAGTCTGGCATCTGTGCCTGAAGGGCCTCCAAGGATAGCAGGGATTCCTTGAGTTCTCAGCAGTATTTCAAAAGAACCCAGAGAAATAGCATCTAAATTGTGAAGGATGACAAACAGTCCTACTTTGTACTCAGAGATGTAACCACAGTATGGTGATTACATTGGCCTGTTGCTCCTCGTTGTGAGATCCAATGGTATAATTTAAAGCCATCATCAATAAAGAGGAAGAAATTACTTGATGCAAGTTGTATGCCAGACAAAATTTACCAAATGTACATCTTTTTTTTTTTTGGTACTGGGGATTGAACCCACAGCTGTGCACTTGCAAGGCAGGTGCATGTGCCGCTGAGCTAAATCCCTGGCCCCCAAATGTACATCTTGTATGGAGGAAAATTACTAAAAATGGTCTTTAAAGGTGGAACAGTTGGAAACTACTGGCACAGTCCAACTTCATCACTTTACAGTTGAGAAAACTAAGACCTAGAGAAGGGAAGGGAACTCCCTAGTTCCCATGGTTAAGTTACAGGCAGAATCCTAAGATGGGCATCATGATGACAATCAGAAATAACCACTGTATCATGCCCTGAGCTAGGCACTCCTTATGTTCCATGAGGGCAGAGTTGCTATGTGGCATCATGGGGCCTCCATCATCAGTCTTTGAGAAGTGAAAGCAATCTTACTGTATCATCATAGCAACCCTGTATATTAACTGAAAGGTCATCCTGTCTCTGGAGCCTGCTTAGGCTTGGGTTACAAGAAAAAAAAAAAAACAAAAAACTTCCCAAAACTGTTCCATCTGCAAAAGTCAACTCCGCCTAGGAATGTACTAGATGATGGACTCCATCACAATCTGCTGCTTGCACCTGGCTCACCTGCAGAGGTTCCCCCCCCCCAAACAAACCTTAAAAATCCTTTGCTCTAGGGGCCAGGGATTTAGCTCAGTAGCATAAGTGCCTGCCTGGCAAGTGCGCAGTTGCTAGTTCAATCCCCAGGACAAAAAAAAGCGCCTCTCCTTGAGCCAAGAAATGGCTGCTTTGGCCTGCAAGGCAAGTCTGGTCCCCCTACTTCTTGGTCCAATAAAGCTTCTCTCTTGAGGCAGAATGTCTGGTCTGATTTTGCATGGGTTCCAGTCCATCATTAACAACCTCATTTTAGGTGCACAGATAGACCTAGAGAAATGATTGGTTGAAGGAGAACAACAGAATTAGGATTTGAACTGAGATTTGCCTGGCTCCCAACTTCATGATTTTTTCTCCCAGTATTGAGGATTGGACTCAGGGCCTTTGCACCAAGCTACATTCCCATCCCTTCTTTTAAATTCTAAAACAAGGTCTTGCTAAATTACCTGGGCTAGGTTTAAATTTGTAATCCTCCTACTTTAGCTTCCCAGAACACTAGGATTACAGATGTGTACCACCACACCCAGTCCAATTTCATCACTTTAATTAAGATACTATCTGCTTCCGAGCACTTTTTTTTTTTCCAGCCAGGGTCTTGCTATGTAGCCCAGGCTGGCCTTGAACTCACAAAATTTCTCCTGCCTTGGCCTGTCAGGTGCTGGGATTATAGGCATGTGCCATAGTGCCAGGCCCAGCACTTTTGACATCATACTAATGCCAGGATGAAGTTAGAATTGCTTCTGCTCACCTTAGTTTTCATACACAGCCACCTTATGGATCTGACACTCAAAATTTGCCATCCCAGAAAGGCCAAAAAACCAAAATAGCCAATAAAAAGGGACTGGCCTTTAGAAGCCTGAAAAGGACCCAGGAGTTGAGGATCTCTTCCCCTTTCTATGACCGACAGATCTGCCTCTTCTTCATCAAGTAACTATGTTGTATTGTTGTGACAGGTGTCACTTTGTTACAACAGCATTATCAGTCAGCCAGAGTTGGAAAGCCAGAGGAAGTATGTCATCATGTGTATCTGTGTCCCAACCATCTCTTCATGTTAGCGTCCTGGTGACAGTTTTTCATTTCCTCTAGCTGGCACCTTTATTTCCTGTTCATTATCTCTTTCTCTTCCTATCTCTTCCTCTATCTCTTCTTTCTCTTCCTCCTTCTCTCCTTCCTTAAAATCCTGTATTTTGAATCAGCCGAGAGTCTCCTGAGGGTGGGGATGGTGGTGTCATTGCCAAGTGATTCATCTGGCTGATAATTAGAGCCCTGGAAAACCCAGGATTTATTCTTGTCAGTATCAAGGCTTCCGGAATCCCTGGGCTTCTCCCTTTGTCAAAGAGAGAAGCACGGAGGGCTGGGACCTAACTTCATGCCTGTCTGTTGGCCATCTGTCTCATTAAGGCTTTGCCACTAACATGACACTTTCTGGATCCTGTGAGAAGCTGTTTTCAAAACTTAGTGAGTCCTCATAATAATCTTATAAAATGTTATTTCTGTCTGGTGAGGCAGGATGTTCTGAGAACTCACACTTAGTTATCCAGTTTGTGACACAGGAGGGATTTAAATTCTAGCTTTTGGAAATCCACGGTACTGGGTTCAAATCACAGTCCTGCCATTATTAGCTATATGCCTTTGGACAGGTTACTTTCCCTCTCTGAGTCTTATCTGTAAACAGATGCCTAATGCTGCTGTCTCTGAAGTGCTTAACACAGTGGGTGCACAACAGTAGGAAATGCTCTGATTACTGTTACTCGGCTCTGTAAGCACCTTAACGGGTACTAGGCATTCACAGAGACAAAGAAAAGGAAAGTGCAGCCAGACCTCCCTCAGATCAGCCTGCTTGTCCAGCTACTACTTTGTGGACATGACAAATTCACACACACATAAGTGCCTGGTCACACACCCTGGTCACACACAGTGCATACAGGCTTGGACACGTGTGCCTACAGATGGATACAGAATGACTAGGGAACAGCTGGAAAGACAAATGAGAGTTAAAGTCAGAAGCAACAAGCATCTCTGCTTATTTTTCAGAGGCAAAGGACTTGGGCTACGGCTGCTGGTGCTGCTGCCACTGAGTCCTTCTAGCTGCTTCTACATGCCAGGGGAGGGAAGTCAGGCTCTCAGAGGCCCCCTGTGAGTCACCAGCCTGATGCAATCTCTTTAAAGGGCTCATCTGCTGGTGCAAGAAGCTGATTCATAGAGGGCGTGGCTGCTGAAGGAAGAGAAAGGGATTGAAACTGTGGCAGGCGAGACTTGGTTAGGTGATTGGAATCGTTACCAGGAACTCTTTCCTGTAAACGTCTCTGGTCAGGACTACAGGATCTCTAAATTAAAGATGGCTATCCTCAGGGTTCCTAAAGGGCCTAGAGAGGGCAATGAATTATGAGCATTACGACAGGAGTTCCTGTCTTTTATTGAGCCTAACAGCACAGTTCTGGACTCCAAGAAATAGACATCAAGGAAGTATTGCTTTTCTTATAAATGTAAACGACAGTTGGCTGGTTTCCAGCGGCTGTAAGGGTCAACCCCAAGAGGGCGGGTTGTACTGCCCACGAGGTTCTAGGGCGTCAAGGTGGGGCGGTGCCTCCCTCCCAGCCTCCTGGCAGACATCGATGAACGGTAAATACCGCCCCCATACGTCTCCATCTCCAATAGTTTTATAGTTTACATCCAAGGACCCAGTTTAATCCAATCATAAGTCAGATTCTGGCTTCTTGCCTGAAGGCTTCCGCCCATCGTCAAGATGGCGACCCAATCTGATTGCTAAGGGGCTTCGGAGCATGGGGGGGCGTGTCCGGGGACGGGGCGGTGCTGTAGCCGGGAGGGGGGCAGTGCGTCACTTCCGTTGTCAGGTGGCGGCGCCGCAGCCATGGAGGGAGGCGGCGGCGGTGGCGACTCGGGTGGCTACGCTGGGAGGCTGCGGTAAGCGGCTTGCACGCCCCCGGCCCGGCCCCGGGTCCCCGGGACGGAGCGCCGAGCGGCCCCGGCTCCGGGCTGCGGACTATGGGCGAGCAGCGCTGACCACCCCGGGAAGGTGAGACCGGGGGCTCAGAGCGGGGAGCCGGGAGGGCGTTGCGGTTTGGCGGGGCGGGCCCCAGCGGCCGTGGTGGTGGGACCAGGGTGACAGAAATCACAACAGCGAATGTTCTCTCCTCCGCTGGGGGTCTGCCCTTCGCCGGCGACAGGGCCAATGGGGAGTCTCAGAAGCCGTCACAGCCCTTATTTAGTGGGCATTACCAGCCCTTTCCGGAGCGACTCATAGTAAGTGAAGCAGCCGGCATTTAAATCTAATCAGGTTTTCCCAAAGAGACGCCTCCGGTCTCTCCTTGCTTCTCCCTGATCTCCAGAGGTGACTTGAAAGTTAGAACGAATTCCCAGAGAGTTTTCTCCAGGGTTTCCTCCTGGAACCCTCGCTGGTTGGCACTGGTCCCATGGCTACCAGGGAGTTTCGCGTCCTGGGTGGCGTTCAGGTGAGAGAGCAGCCTGCTTACCAGGTCCGCGTTTGGCCGGTCTTCTCCAAGGGACTACCTTGCTGTGGTCAGGGTTTCACCTGCCATGCCGGATCAGGCCCGCCCATTCCCACGCCACTTGGCCCCACCTTTCAGCCAGTAGATCTGAGCATTTGGACTCGTGGTGTTCTCTGCCCACTCACACTCCCCAGGTTTGTTGCCCTTTTGTTGGCGGAAGGGAGAGATGACAGTCGGCATTCTGTAGCAGGATAGACTTTGATCTGTTTTAAGTCACTGGAGGAAACCAATTGGCTTTGCTTGGTTTTGAGAACCATGGGGAAGAGAGTAGTCATCCTGGGCTGGGCTCCTTTCCCTTTTGGCTGAATTGTTTTGCATGAGATAAGGAAGAGCAGTGTAATTGTAGAGACCAGAGGATCTTTATTGTAAGCTCTCCAGCTCTCCTTCTGACCTTGCCATGCTAGCCCTTTGTAGATTAATCTAGACAGCCTAAAGATAGCCTCATTCATTCATTCATTCATTCATCCCTCAAATAACAGGGTGCTTGTAGAGGCAGGTGCAATACATGGTAGTACAGTATTGAAGAGTAGGTGTTGGAAGCTGGTCCTCGTGGCACATGCCTGTAATCTCAGCACTTGGGAGGCTGAAGCAGGAGGATTGTTGTGCTGGCATGGGCTATATGGAGAGACCCTGTCTGAAAAAAAGAAAGAAAAAGAGTAGGTGTTAGAGCTAGGCTTGCTCAGTTCAGCCACTTTCTAGCTGTGTGACCTTGGGCACTTTGCTTAACTTTCTGTGTCTCATCTACAAAACAGTGATGATAATATAAAGTTAAAAAGCTAGACACGTGTAAATATAGAACTGTCTACTGCATAAGAGTTCAGTAAATGTTAGCCATTCCTACTTCAAAGAGCTCAGTGGTCTGATTAGGGAAGACTGACCTGTAAACAGTTGAAATGTGATCTGAAAAAGCTAGTTAGTAGCAGACTGTAATTTCAGCTACCCATGAGGCTGAGGCAGAAGGATTTCAAATTACAGGTCAGCCTGGACAAATTTAGTAAGACCCTGGCTCAGAATAAAAAGCATTGGAGACTTAGTTGAGTGGTAGACTAATTGGCTAGCATGTGTGAGCCTCAGTCTCCAGTACTATTAAAAATAATGGAGGACAGAACATTGCATGAGGCCAGGAGAGGAAGCTGCTAGCTTATCTAGGAACGTGAAAGGTACATTAGGAAATCTTGGCATAAAGGAGGCTGGAGCCAAGTCTTGAAGGAGAGAAGAGGGAGGCTTAGCTAAGTGAGAAAGAAGAGGAATGTGTTCTATTGAAAGAAAGATTCATAGTTTATTTCAGAAACCTCAGACTGTTGTTCACTACAATATAGAAGTTGACCTGGTGCAAGATGAAGCAATAAAAGTTGACTAAGGAATGTCAGTTAATGACTTGGGACTTCATGCCCAGGGCACTGGGGAGACCATGAACAGAGGACTGATTTGAATGAGGCTGTCTTGTAGACAGATCTCCTTGGAATCCTAGTACAAGAGGGAAGCAAGAGGAAAGAAGGACCTCTGTGGAGATCACTGCAGGCCTCTGAATGAGGAGAGCTGGTACTGGGGTAGTGTGGTAGATCCACCCTGAGAAAGCACTGCGTGATCTGGGCTTTTCTGCTTGGCAAAGAAATGCCAGGGACATGGACCTTTTTCCTTCTGGGATTGCAGTTATATAAGCTGCCACCCAACTGAGGTGGGGCTGCCATCTCAGAAATCCAGTTGTAACGGATGTTGCATTTGCTTATTTGTGCCTTTAATTTGATTTTTTTAGACATGTTACTAGGGTGTAATAGCTAAGAGCTATTTGTGCCACCTGACAGATGTGGGTTCTAATCCTGGCTTTACTGATCACTTACCTTATTCTCTCCATGCAGCTTTCTCATCTGTAAAATGGGGATAATAAGAGTAGCTCCCTAGTGGGTCAATTGTGAGGATGAAGCGAGATATTGCGGGTTGAGTATTTAGCACTCACGAAGGAGTGAAAGTGGTGTTGGCTTCTATTACAGCCTGCAGGAAAGAATTTCGAGGAATTAGTTGAAACAATTCATAGCAACTAGACCTGTGTCTTGTTGAGCTGTCAAAACTGTCTTGGGGGATCACAGGATCACAGAATTTTATTGTATTCTTTTCAAAAAGGAAATCTGTGGAGAGTTTACCCAGCAGGTATAGGAGCAATGCAGATGATTCAGTGTGGATCTCTAAAGCAACCCTTTTCCAAACAGAAGTAAGACTGCAACAGGGGGGAAAAATAGTATTTTAATGTACACATGGGAGAAAATGTAGAGCTCTTTGTGTGAGTCGCTACAAGTGACCTAGTCTGATGCCTAAATTAGCACCATCCGGAGGCATTATGAACACTGATGTATGTGGTGGCTCAAAATGCAGAAGCCCAAGTGCATACATGTTTCTTCCTAGTGCAGCTGACAGGTGCTGGGTACTGGGGAAAGGAGAAGACGAGAGGCAAATCCTGCCCTGGAGGAGGTTGTGGCTCAGCAGGAACAGGGTAGGCATATAACCATGGACATGTGCACAGAGCTTGATGAGCCTCTCCCACAAGGCTGTGCAGCACTTGGTGGGCACCTAGCAAGTGGAAGGAGTGATTCACTTTGAGGATGAGGAGGACTTTGAAGAAGAGTCCTTGAAATTTGAACTCGATCTTGAGTAAATAGAGTTTTCTGGGGGTCTACAGAACAGGCAGGGGAACCAGTGTGGCACAGGTGTCATTGTGTGTTGGTGTGTGTGGCACTTTAGGAACCCCAAAGGGTTTCAGCACAAGGTGTGAAAGTCATGCTAGAAAGGTGGGCATGCACCATGCCAAGATGCTTGGACTTTGCATTCTGTGGGTGATTAGCATCTTAAGCAGAAGAAACAGCATCAGACCTGCGTCTTGCAGAGTGCTCTGGCTGCCATGGAGGAAGGACTGGGGAGAGAGTGAGTGTGGGGTCCCTGTAGGAGGCTGTTGCAGTAATCATACACAGTGAGAGCAAGTAAGACTTGAATCAGGACAGAGGTGGTGGCAGTGGGGAAGAAGGGTCAAGATCAGAGGTGCTCATGAGAGGAAATCAACTGGACTCTGGTTGTGGTTTTTTGTTTGTTTGTTGAGACAGGGTTTGGCTATGTAGTTCTGGCTGCTTTTTAGCTACATAGTCCAGGCTGGCCTTGAACTTGCAGCAGCCCGAGTACTGGGACCACAGACAGAGTGCCATACTGTCTTGAGAGTGTTTGGAAGTGAAGATTGAGAGAAAATAAACTGGCAGATCCATGGTCCTTGGCTTGGGTGACAGAGTGAATGATGGTGCAGAGATAAGGTGGCTCAGGAAGAAGATATAGCCAGTGGAATCTGACAGGTTATTCAGTTAGGCTGAGCACACCCTCAAGGGAAAGGATCAATTGCAAAATCCTGTGGAATTCTGTCCTGCTTTGGGGCAAGACTCCCTCAAGTGTTGTGTGGGTCAGCTCCCTGGAGAAGGCAGCTTCCCTTCCTTTACCTTTCTTCTCCCCAGGTATGCTGAGAGGGGTGAACTGCCTCAAGGGGCAGAAATTCCAGTGTAGCCCTTGTCTCTGAGACAGCCACTCTGATGTAGCAACCCACAGCCCATGGGGTCTGAACAGCTGTAGACCCTGAGGGCAGCAGCACCTTTATCAGCACCTCCTAGCACAGATCTAGGAAGAGACCTTCAGGTTGGATTTACTGCCTGATGCTGGGTCAGCAGCTTCAATCCTGCTTGTTAGGAAGGAGGGGCATCTGCAGAGGCCATCTGGACTCAGAACCCTCAGGGAAGTGAGAGGAAGCTACCCTAGTGCTTTTGCCACTCAGGGAGCTAGGAGCTCTCCCTGAAACAAAGTAGGCCACAGAGAAGAGTGTGTTGATGAACATGGCTTCAAACATACCCTTTAGAATGTGGGAGATTGTCACAGGATTTGTCCTTGGGCTATAAGATAGAAGGGAAAGTGACCTGAATCAAGAGCATTTTTTCCTCCTCCACCTGCTCTGGTGGCTCACACTGGCCTTGAAGGTGGCCCTAGGCCCACAGCTGCTCCCGCATATCCTCCCAGGCTCTGTAGTCAGGAGCCAAGAGGGGAAGGGCCAGGGATACAGCTCAGTGGCACAGCACCTTCCTGGCAAGTGCAAGGTCGTGAGTTTGATTTCCAGTACAAATGCCAACAGGGGCAAGGCTGGTATCGCTTGTTTTGGTTACTTACTGTTTTAGAGGTGATTCTATTTTGGCACATGGCAAATGCCTGTCTGGGTCAGTTTGGCTGCATTTGGTCCCTTCTTCAGTGTAATTTATTCGAAAAGCTGTCTGCTGGTGATAAACACAGGTTATTTTCTGTCTTTTGCTCCTGAAAGCTGGAGTGATTTTGTACCTATGATTTTGCCCAACTTAGGCATCTACAGGATAAATTCCCAGAAGTGTTACTGCCTCAAAGAGTGTCTCTTTTGGGCTGAGGATTTAGCTCAGTGGCACAAGTGCTTGCCTGGCAAGTGCAAGGTCATGCGTTCGATCCCCAGTACCAAAAA